ACCCAGGCCCAGGAACACTGGGGACAGGTTGGCTGTGCCTCCATGGGCCCCCACCCTTCACAGGTCCTTGCCTGGAGGATCCTGCAGTTGAGCTACCTCTGAAGGCAGCTGTGCTGAGTGTAGCCCCCACCACCCTGCACCCTGCCCAGGGCCTGAGACCAGGTTCCAATGTGGCCAGGGCTCATGCACCCAGGCTGTCTGGAAAGTTAAGCTCTGATGCTTTTTACTGTACATTTGAATGTTTTCACAACAAAACAAATTTTAAAATATTTTAGAGCCCTGGCTGGTATGGCTCGGTTGGACATCATCTGCAAAGCAAAAGGTTGCCAGTTTGATTCCCAGTCAGGGCATATGCCTAGGTTGCAGATTTGGTTCCCAGTCTGGAACCCATATGGTCAGGGACTCGTATGAGAGGCAACTGATTGATGTTTCTCTCTCACATTGAAGTTTCTCTCCCTCTTTCCCTCCCTTAGTCCTCCAAAAAGAAATAAGTATTTAAAAAATATTTTAGATGTTCAGAAAAATGGCAAAAACACTATTTATAGAGTTCCCAGCTGCCCTCCTTCACCCAGCTTTCATGCACGTCACCATCCTGCATAACCGTGACCTGTGTCTCACAGGGCAGAAATGAGCCTGACTCAGCGCTTGTGACAGACACAAGTGCCAGGTGAACACTTAGGCCTCTGAAGAGCATTGGTCGGTCTCGGGTTTGCCTGGGAGCCTCTGGCTGAGGCTGGGGCTTTGTGCTTATGGCAGGAGCCCCACAGACCAGCCCCTGTATCTGCCTCAGTACATTGTCTGTGAGGCTTTGCTATTATTGATGTGCCTCATTGCCAACAGGATTGACCTTGACCCCTGTTGGGGCAGCCTTCCTCAGATCCCTCCACTACCTGCTTTGAAGCTGCTACTTCTCCACCTCATCCTGAGACAGACACACAAGGTTGTGCAGGTGTGCTGGCCCCTTGTGGCGGGGGAGGGATGGCCTTATCATTTGTCAGTGGGTGTCGGCTACAGCACTTGTGACTGAGGCATACATCTGGCAGAGAGTGTTTTTTCCTCGTTGCTCTGCTGACCAGCTGGCATTCTGTAGGGATAGCTGCCCCCTCCCTTTAGCTATTCAGTCATTCATTTATATCAATGTGAGCTGTGATCAGCTGCCATCAGGATTGTCTGCTTGGGATTTCCTGTGTTCATGTGTGTCCCCAGTGGAGCACTTCCTCCCTTGCAGCCACTCGGGCTGGCCCAGATTCAGGCTGTTCCTTCCCTGCCTTGGCCCTTGCACCGCTTACCTCCCCAAGGAAGGGCCTCCTCGCCTTCCGACACTGGTTGGCATGGAGCCACTCAGGCCCCAAGTCTCTGGTTGGAGGTCTGAACAGCTAGCTCAAGGGGCTCACACTGCGGTATGTGAGCATGCAGCTTTTCTTTGTAGTTTGTTTTTCATTGAGATGCAACCTGCATATCAAAGGATTCAGTGACTGTTAGTATACTCACTGTGTTAGGCACCCTGTACCTCTGTCTTCTGTCAGAACATTTCATCACCTCCAAAAGAAATCCCATCCCTATCAGCAGTCCCCCTTTCCATTTTCCTCCTCCAGTCTCTGACAACCTCAGATCTGCTTTGTGTCTCTGGATGTGCCTGTACTGGCCATCTCACATAAATGGAATCACACACTGTGGCCTTTCGTGTCTGGCTTCTCTCCCCTAGCATCGTGTTCCTGGGGTTCATCCACACTGTAGCGAGTGTTAGTGCTTCACTCCTTTTCATGGCTGAGTAATATTCTGTTGTGTGGATGGACCACATTGTGTTTCTCCATCCATCAGTAGGCATGTGGGCTGTGTCTCTCGTCGACTGTTGTGAATTCTGTTGCTGTGAACATCATGCACAGGCCTTCGTGTGGACATGTATTCCAGATATGGCTGAATCTGACTCGGGGGGATACTTGGGGACATGTCAGGGTTGGTGGTGAGGGACTCAGCATCTCAGCATTCCATCTCCCCTACCTCCCCACATGCTCACTTTCTGGAGCAGGCACTGCCCTGACATCTCCCAAGGCCACCTGGACCCCTAATATCTTGGCCAGGCTCTGGGGACGACTCTCCCATGTGCAAGCACCCCTCACACAGGCAGCATGGCATCTCAGGGCTTCTGGGAAGCCAAGATGAGGTCATGGCTCAGAAAAACACTTCACAAACTCTCAGCAGCTCCCTCCTTGGCGTGGGGCAGGTGGCATCGACTGCTTGGCATGTGGATTTCATGGGGTCAGAGGTCTTGGCTCACCAGTGCGTTCTTAGCAGTTACCAACATTGGGAAGAAGACAGCATGAGATTCCTTCTCACAGGAGCCTGTTGGTTCATACCCAGCCACAGCCAAGAACCCCTCCAAAGTCTGCGCTGAGGGCCACCAGCCAGAACACTCCCCACTGTGGTCTGTGCCAAGGGCCAGGACCCTGTGGGGGCAGGAGTGTGGGTGTATCCTGGGGATCTCTGTGTGGAAGTTGGGCCACTCAGGCACCAGAGAAGAAGGCGGTGAGGGAGCTTTTGGAGGCCCAGGGGTGTCCCACAGATTCTTCGGAAGTCCCCGATCAGGGTCCAGCCCCTCCTGATTGCAATGCTGAAAAGCATTCAGGGGTGGCATGCTGCTGAGGCCACTCGGCCCACACCAGGCAGCCGGCCCTGTTATGGGCTGACAGCAGAGCTGTCTGGGGGGGAGTTTTAGGAGCATCGTGAGGCTACCCCACCAAAGTATCTCAAACTGGGCAACTTAAAACCATAGAGATGAGTGCCTTCCCAGTTCTGACGCTAGATGGCTGAGATCAAGGTGTTGCAGGGCTGCCCTCCCTCCAGAGGCTTCATGGGGCGGGGCCGCATCTTTCCTGCTTCTCCCAGCCTCTAGATGCTCTGGACATCCTGGACTTGGGGCTGCATTGCTGTAGTGCCTGCCTCTGTCTTCATGTTGTTTCTCCCTGTGTGTCTGTGTCCATAGTTCTCTCTTCTTAGAAGGATAGCAGTCACTACACTAGGGCCACCCCACTCCAGTGTGACCCCATTTTCCTAATTATACCTGTACAGGCCGTGTTTCCGAATAAGGATCGGTTCCTAGGTTAGGACTCAAACCTGTCATTTTGGGGGACACAACTGAGCCCTCAACAGGGACATCCTAGCAGTGAGATGTGCCTGAGGGGCCCTGTAGTGCCCTCCCTACCCCTCTGCCCAGCGAGTACTGCTCACTCCCTGGCCTTAATTTAACGTGCTGTAACTTGAGGACAGACAGGCTACCTGTGGCCCAGGTCAGTGGTGGCCTGAGACCTTGAGTGTGTATAAAGAAACTGATAAGGCAGATGGAGAAGGTAAGGGATGAGACCCCCGAACAGAGGGGAAGGATCTCAGGAAACCGGGGCCTCCGGGGAGCCCCACAGGACCTGGCTGCATTTAGAGGGCTGGAGCCACCGCCATCCATGTCCTTGGATGTGGCTCCCACCCACACTGGAACCCGAGGCACCCGTCTCACCTCAACCAGGGCCTCTGCCCAGACCTGACTCGGTGCCTTCCCACTCTCCCATCCAGGCCCTTTGCAGACCCGAAGCCCGTGGTCACCAGGGCAGCAGGGCCACTGGCGGGCCAGGCTGGGGGTGGATGAGGTGGCCAGGTGGCCAGTGGGTGACGACTTCCCCAAGCAGTGTCCCCTCCTTTTCCACAGACCCCCAGCCACACCGTGGCTTTCCTGTCTCCTTAGGATCACCTTTGCCAGTTGGCCAACCATCTGGTTACAATATACAAGGGACAGAGTCAGAGTTTACAAATGTGACTGGCAACCTGACAAATTTTATGTCCAGTAAACCTAGTAGTAAAAAGTTTGTTTTGTTAAATTATTTTGTTATTATGTTTTCCTGTCATTAAAGATTCCAAGAAATTCTTTTTTAAATGGAGACAAAATTTGCATACCTTAAAACTCACCCGTTTAAAGTACATTCACAATGTTGTGCAACTGTCACCTCTGTCTTGTTCTAGATTGTTTCTTTACCCCCAAAAGAAGCCTTGTCCCCCTCAGCAGTCGTGCCCATCCCCTGACAACCATTAACCCATGTCCTGCCTTTGTGGGTTTGCCTGTTCTGGACATGTCACGTAAATTAAATCACACATCATGTGGTCTTTTGGTATCTGGCTTCGCCTACTGAGCATGATGATTTCAAAATCCACCCATGTTGTGGCGAGTATCAGAGCTTCACTCATTTTCATGGCTGAGTGATATTCTGGTGTGTGGGTGGACCACATTTGTCCACTGACAGACATTTGGGTTGTTCCTGCCCTGTGGCTGTTGCGAATCCAGCCTCAGTGGACGTGCGCACACAGGTTTCCTCTAGGCATGCTTGCATTTCTCTTGGCTGGACACCTAGTGGTGGCATTGCAGGGTCCTGTGGAAACTGTGGGCTTTGGAGGAACCATTCGCTGTTTTGCAGAGACAGAGACGCCTGTTGTACATTCTTACCAGTGTGTTGGAGGTTCCTACTCTTCTCTGTCCTTGCTAGCACTTGTCACTGTCGTTTGTTTGAGCCTGGCAGTACCTCAGGTGTACAGTTTGTCTCACTTATGACCTGCCTTTTCCAGTATCCTTGTGGTGTCAAGTGTCTTCATGAGCACTCTGCCATGTGTGCACTTTTCCTCCCACCCGTGGTGACTGTAGCCTGGCAGGGCACGTTGTCGGGGTCCATGTTGCCCCCGGCTGTGTGGGGGGACAGGACAGGGACCGCTTCAGTGGCCTCATTTGACTGCAGAGTTGGATCCCCTGACCACTCAATCATTCCCATGGAGTGGGTTCCTGTGCCTAGGGCCCCGAACCCCAGGACATGATGGTTTTATGTACCCTGTCCACCATCTATTCCTGGTCCTAACCCTGTGCTGTAGTGAGGGGAGGCAGGGGCCAGTGGGGTGGGGTGGGGAGGAACAGGGCTTCAGGGGCAGGCAGAGTCCTTGGCAAGTCTGGAGGATAAAGAGTGGGGTGGGTCTGAGCGCCTGAGAAGAGGACCTCCAGGGGGAGCCCAGCATGGGCAAAGGCCCTCGGGTGCCCAGGAGGCACTGGAGACAGCTCCAGGATGGTAGGTGAAGGCCATGGAGCTGGGTTCAGGCTGAGGAGCTAGGGACTCAGCCCAGGAGGGTGTAGGGAGACATGGAGGAGTGGGAGGGGCCTTAGTTTCCTCCCTGTGTCCTGGGGCCTGTGCCCCTTAGAATCACTGCTGCAGGCATCTCAGGAACAGCAGAAGGTCCCTACCAGGCCCAGCCAACAAGGGGTGGGGGCCAGGTAGAATAGAACCCAGCCATCTGGGGAAACTGAGGCAGGGCTGGGAGGAGCTGCCCAGCATCCCAGTTTGCCCCCCAGCATCCCATCTGAACCCTGAGCGCCTGCAGAGGGGCCTAGCCCCTGTGGACGGGGCACCCGGGGATGGCAGGGTACGACCTGGCAGGCTGGTGCGTTGTTGACAGCCTCTGTGGCTAGATTCCGCCCTGTACAGTAATTGTCCCTGCACTGCCAGTAATCGCCCTGACTTACCAGGCAGGCATCATTTCCTGAAAGTCAGCGGCCTTAGGGGAAGTAGGCGCTGGTGGTGACTAAACCAACATGCAAATGCAGCCGGGCTGGGGCTGAGAGCAGAGCTGGGAGCTGGCTGCTGTCTGCCGGTCCAGCGCCCAAGGTCATGAGGGAGCGCTCCTTTGAGGGGACCCAGCGGCGGCCACGCCATGTCCCAGCTACAGTTCTGGTTGCAGTTTGCAGAACTCAACAAGGTAACACTCCCGCTGAGCCTCAGGGTAATCTGGCTCCCTCCCACCTGGCAGGGACCTTCTGAGGGCTGCCTGGACCCACCAGACCCTGGGGCCCTCCCCTCCTCCTGGCTCCTGTTGGCTTTTTTGGCAGCAATGGTGAATTTGCAGGAGTTTTCTGAGAACTGGTGGGGGTGTGGGGAGGGACCACGGAGGCGCCACAAAATGAAAGTGCCTGTAGCCAGCGGGGAGGTGGGAGGGGCTGTGTCTGAGTGCTTGCAGTCCCTGTTCCTGTCCGGGTGGCCCTAGCGTTGGACCTGGGAGTCTCACGGGCTCTGGGGTGTCCAGGGGCACCCATCAGTGTCTCTGCCAGCAGTGGCAGACCCGGTTTGGGATTGGCTGTCACAGACAGGTAGGAATGGATCCCTGTGACTCCTCATTTCCCTAGGGACCCAGGTAAGCATCAAGCCCCTGTCTGAAACAGTGAAAGAACCCATTTGAAGGTCATTTCTGGGGTCTGCTTTGGATAGGAGGGGGGTGCTAAGCTGCTGCAGCCTCCCTGGGGGAGGCCCAGAGCTAGGTCAGGGGTGGAGGGCCATCCTATCTCATGCTGGGCTGTGGCACGGGGGAGGGGCACTGTGTAGCAGCTCCAACATGTCCTGCCATCCCCTCACCTAATCCCAGGGTCCCTGAAATGCTGTAGATATGGTAACTGCAACAAATGACTCCACGCTCTCCTGGCCCCTCAGAACAGTTAGCTGGCTCCCTTCCCACTTGGGCTGTAGCAGGGAGAGCAATGTGAGGGGGTCTGAGGAGAGGTGCTTTAGGTGGGAACCCCAGGAGGACAGTTCTGGGTTTGAGTGGTCTTGGGGATCTGCTGATATCTGCTGGGAATCAGGTCCCCACCAGGAAGGGTTCCATTCTCACCTCCGTCCACCTCCCCCCTGCACAGGGGGTGCAGCTGGAAGGATCCCTGGGAGCCTCGCCTCCCCTGAACCCTGGTGACCCATGTGAGGCCCCTCCTTCCTTTGCCCAAGAATTGAGGGGCCCCCACTTTGCTAGCTGCTGGTCGGGGTGTCTGGAGGCAGGGTCCCCAGAGTGGGTGGGGGACAAGAGCACCTACTTTCTTAACAGATGATATATTTTAGAACAGATTTAGATTTCACAGAATCAGTGTGGATGGTATATATTCTCATGTCCCCCTAACCAGTCCCCCTGTTCACACCTTGTATCACTGCGGTGCCTTTGTCACAGCTGATGAGCCGGGACTGAGACGTCATTAATAACTGAAGTCCATATTTACTTGATTTCCTCAGTTTCCCCTTCAGCCCCTCCGACTAAGTCGGTTTCCCTCCTTTCTTACGTGGACGCCCGGGCTGTGTGTCTTTTCAGGACGTCCCCAGTCAGGGTTTTCTGGTGTCTTTCTCATGACTGCACTGAGGGATGTGCCCTGCTCATTCGTCACATCACTGTCCCTGCTGCCCCCAGGCCTCCTCCCTGCTGACGTTGATCCTCATCTCTTGGCTGTGCTGCTAGTCAGACTTCTCCTCTGGGAAGTCCCTTCCCATCCGCCGTCCCTTCGGGTAGGGGTGCCTCTGCACAGCCACTTGCCAGGGCCATTCTCCCTCCTCTGCCCCCAGGCTCTACCCACCACTCAGGGACCATTTGCCTCCGTAAAGCAGAACCACCTCTCAGCGACCCAGGAGCTAGTGTCACTCTGTCTAGGCTCAGGCAGTGCCCACCAGGGCATACTCAGCTGTGGCCCCAGAGGGATTTCACGAAAGACGTGGCTACCTCCACCTGTACCCAGACCACACCCTGCCCAGCCTGCAGGCATCTCTGGGGTCTCTGCCTCTGTTACTCCACAGGGTCCAGGTAGCAAGACTTAGAGCCCGGCCTTCCTTGGCATGGTCTGCTAGACTTGGGCTGAGCCATCTCTGAGCCCCACTGCCCTGGGAGAGGTAGAACCCAGGGGAGGTCCAGCCTTGGGGTCGGCAGGGCCAGACTTGCCCATGGTTGCCTCGGGTTGCCTCAGTTCCTCCTGAGATAGCTGTGCTGGCCTTTTGAATTGCCTGGCTCTTGTGTGAGCAGGCTGGGCACCCAGGAGTGTCAGGGTGTACTCCCTCCAGCTCCTGCCTCTGTCCTGGAACTCTGGGCTTTTATAAACCTATACAAGCCACCACCTGTGCCTGGTGCCAGAGCTGCTCCTGCCTTCTATTAGGTAGCCTAAGTCCCCGCCTCCTCCTCTGGACCTATCCAGGTCACAGAGTCCTGCCTGCTGGAAGCAGTGGGGTAGTCTGGGTCTGCCGTACCCCTGTCCCCACATGGGTCCAGACTGCTTGCAGCCAGGGGCAAGGGTGAGGACAGGCCTAGTGGTCCGACCCCCTATGGCTCTCTATGCACCTGGATAACCAGGGCTCTGAGGTGTGGGAGGAGGCTCACCCTAGGCCCCCAGCTTTATACCAGCTAGCTGACTTGGCCAAAGGTGGCCTTTCCTGCATGCCTCCTGACCCCCGGCTGGCACCAGGACAGATGTTGTCCAGCAGGTGGGCAAGACTGAGGCTCCTGCATCCACCCATCCCTGTAGAGGCCGCTGGGTGGGCCCTAGTCCCGTCTCCTTCTCACCCATTCCCTTGGAGCCTGCCTCTTTCTGGGGCCCTGTGTATGCCAATGTCAGAGTCAGAGCTTTGGGAAAACTGATGGGGTCGTCTGCAGCTCCCCTCACCCCCAGGAATCTGATTCCAACTCAGATTGCTGAGAGGGGAGCTCCAGAAATATGGGCCCTCACAGGGCCATGGGTTAGGCCTGGGTGCTAGCTATGGCATTACAGGCACATCAGAGTGGGCTCCGGGGTACCCTTCCTCCCTGGCATCCACTGAGCATGAACTGAGCCCACAAGGCCCCGAGACCCCCACCCTACAGCCCATTCTTTTCTTCCCCTACTGGTTGGTGGGACACAAGTGCAGCGTGTGTCCCAGCACAACTGGCCATGGCTCTCCAATGCCTCTGACATGTAAGTGGTGCACAAGGTCTGGGGCTCCAGGAAGGTAGCCCTGTCTGGACCCTTGGGGTGGCCTCTGCCAAGACCACTGCCAAGGCCACTGGCCCCACCTGCTCAGGAAATGCTTCCACAGACAGACCGAAATGCTTGGGGCCTGGTGTCAATGTGACCGGGACTCTGTGGCCTCCAAGGGCAGGCTGGAGGAGAGGTGCTCATCTGGGAGGGCTTGTGGGCCTTTCTCCCAGTAGTGTTGGCTAAAGGTAACTCCCATGCACCCTCCCCAGCTCCTGGGCTTTCGGGGCCCTGTCTGCAAAACACACACTCACTGTTCTCTCTCTCTAGGTGGCCGGTGCTGCAGGGCAGTCTGGTTGGTGGCTCTCTCCCCACCAGTCCAGTATCCCTGAGTGGCCAGGCCCCTCGTGTCCCTATGTCCAGTGTAGGCTGGGTACATGCAGGCATTCACTGCCTTTGCCTGAGGGGTAGGGGCGTGGGGGCAGCATCAATGCCCCTGGTGTCCTACTGATTTTCTTGAAATTTAGGTTTATACACTGTGTGTAATCTCTGTGAAGCAGGCCCACAGGTGTGGGGCCTGAGTCCTGACAAATTTTTACCTGGTGTCACCTCCTCCACAGGAATGGGCAAGGAAAGGCACAGAGCAGGTGTCACCTTCTTCTGGTGTCACCTCAGCGGAGTCAGTGCACAGCTTGTGGGGTCTGGTCTCTCTCATGAGTGTTGTGTTTTCAGGGCTCGTCTACACCATGGCCAGCGTCAGAGCTTTGTTGCACTCACGGCTGGGCAGCATCGGCCCCGTGGCTGGCCCCCGTGTGCCTGTCACAAGGCTGCCCCAGCTGCACCCTCACCTGGTCTGTCTTCCAGGAATCCTCGTACCTCGACGACCTCTCCAACGCCTCCGTCTTCTCCTCTTCTGTGGACTCCCTCTCGGACATCCCAGACACCCCTGACTTCCTGCCCGCCGACAGCCTTAGTCAGGTGCCCACCATCTGGGACGTGAGCACTGGCCCCTCCACCCACGATAAGGTCAGTTTACCTTGAGGCCTCTGGGCTGGCAGGAGGATCAGGACAGTTCAGACATCAATGAAGCTGCTGGTCCAGGGCCCTCACGTTTCCTCTGTGGCCCAGAAAACACGAGGGTTTGTGGGGGAAGCTCCTGTGTTGGGCACTCTCCTCCTCCTCCTCCTCCTTTTCCTGTGTAAGTGGTGTCACAGCCAGGCACCCCTGTCCCATGCCTTCAGTGGCTCAATCTCCACACCCTGCTCTGTGCTGGACCTGCTGGGGAGACAGGGGTCCCCAGGATATGAGTGAAATGTCATATCTCATGGTTCTCACCCAGGGTGGTCCCACTCCCAGGGACACCTGGCCATATCTAGGGATATTTGTGGGTGTCACAACTGAGTGTGCTCTTGGCGTCGAGTGCCTGGGGGCCAGAGATGCTGCTCAGGCCTCCATAGTGTTCAGGACGGCCTCCCCATAGAGAGTGACCTGGTCTCAGTTTCAGCTGTGTCAGGGGGGAGAGATCTTGGGCTAGCTAAACGTAAAGTCACGTGATGGGTTAGAAAGACAGTAGAAATTCCTATGTAGAAGTTACTTTGGGGCTGAGGGCTGGAGGAGGAGTTGTTGGCCAGATCAGGTGGTAAGAACGGCTTGTGCAAAGAACCCTGTGACAGGAGCTAGTATGGTGTGCCCCAGGGTCAGTGTTGGGCCCTGTGCCTGGCCAGGTAGGAGCCAGGAAGTGAGGCCAGTCCAGGAGAGTCATAGGGGAGCAGGTTCCTTAAGTATGCCAGGCCCAGACTCTAGCACATGCCCAGGACCAGGCAGTAGGGGCACCCAGCATGGGCCTGGCAGGGGGACAGGGACTGCCCTCCAGGGCAGCCCAGCGAGGTCCCTGCCTTTGGCAGCCTTGGTGGACAATCCAGGCCCATCCCAGCATCTAGGCAAAGTAGCCAGTGGACATTGGTATCCCCCACACCTCCCAGGACGCTTGGGAAGCTCCCAGTCCCTGGGAGGAGGAAGTAAGGGCAGCTGAATCCCAACGCTCACACTGTACAGTACTGTGCAGTGGCCAGCCCACGCGCCGGGAACCCTGACTCAGCCTTCTGGGAACCTGGCTGAGGCTATTTGTTTTTGTTAATTCAAAAAAAAAAAAAAAAAAAAAGGAGAGAGACTTGAGCATAGGTTTCTGACTTCCCTTTTATTTTATTTTTTAAAAAACTTTGGCCATGTTCTTAGCCTTGGGAAACAGCTGGAGTCATAAAAGCAACTTGGTTCACGTGACTAAATCCCCTGCTGACCCTCTTCCCTCTGAGACTATAAATAGCACCCATGGTCTGGGGTACCCAGTACACACAGTCATTGGTCTGGGACAGTGGGTCTGCATGGGACTGAGGAGGAGAAGGATGGCCACATGTTACTTTCATGAAGCATGTTTTGGAATCACACAGTAGGTCTTGGCCACCAGACCCCTGGAAGAAGGCCTGTGCTCGGCCTATACCTCAAGGGGAGGGGTCTTTCACCAGAACCAGCTGGTAGGCAATAGGAAGGAGGCAGAGGGGCACGAGGATGGCCTGGAAAGCCTGACTCCAGGCCGGTGGTCCTACCGAGGTGCTTCCTTGGCGTGTCCAGCCTGCAGGCTCATGTCCACCCACCCCTTCATCTCTCTTCCAGTTGTTCCTGCCCAGTGGTCCGTTTACTGGCCTTGAGGACCCTGTGTCCTCCCTTCCCAGCACCCCACTTCTTGTCAGCTACCAGGTGAGCTGGGCCCCTTTCCTAGCTTTGCCTGTGCCTCCTGGGACTAAGGAAAGCCATTCACACTCAGGCACCTACTGTGTGTTAGACCCCAGGCTGGCTTAGAAGGGTGTGGGAAAACTAAGGTCCTGGGAGGTATCGTGTTGGAGATGGTAGGTGGGCTCTCTCCCCACCCACCCACGTCACTGGGCTGGCTGGTGGATCAGGTCCCTGCCCTTTGGGAGAGGCTGGCCTTACTGGGCAACAGGACTGTCCCCACCATGAGAACACTGGTCTTTAGTCTCAGAATCAGCCAGAGGAGGAGGATGAGGCAGAGGAGGATGAAGCAGAGGAGCTGGGCCACACAGAGATCTATGCGGACTACGTACCATCCAAGTGTGAGTGCATGGCCTCCCCTGGCCCCTGGCATGTGGGAGGAGACCCCTGGAGGACACCCTCAGCAGGTGACCACAGTTATGCATATCCCCACTGGGCCTCAGGGCTTCTGCAGGTGGGCACCCACTTCTGGGGTCCCTGAAGCAGTGAAGGTGGGCCTGGTAGGGGTGGAGGGAGGTACAGTTCTGTAATTCTGGTAGTAATCCAAACTGCCCAAAACCAAGGTGGAGGTGGCTCAGAGGGCGTGATGGAACATAAGCCCACTTCCTCCAGGCCCAGCCTCCTCCCTGCCCGGGGAGGGTTTTATGGGTCTGCCCCTCTCTGTCTGTGCAAAGTACTGATGGGCCCCCTCCCCCCAACTCGGCTCTGCTGGGCCCCATCCTGGTCCCACCCCCATCCTGGTCCTACCCAGCTGAGACCCTGATTCTGCCCCTCTAGCCAAGGTCGGGAAGCAGCACCCAGACCGCGTTGTGGAGACCAGCACGCTATCCAGTGTCCCTCCACCAGACATCACCTACACCCTTACCCTGCCCGCCTCAGACAGCGGGGTCCTGTCTGCCTTGCAGCTGGAGGCCATCACCTACGCCTGCCAGGTAAACCTGCAGTCTCCCACCTGACCCTGTCCTCTGTCGGGGTGTCTCAATACCCTACTTGACTCTGTACCTCATGGGGGATGTTCAGTGTGCAGTGCCCACCCTACCTTTCCCACGTGGAGGTGTCCTGGTGCCCACCTGACCACACACTGCATGGGGGCGGTCTCAGCGCACCACCCATCTCCGTACCCATGAGAGATTTCCAGTGCCCACCTAACCCCATCCCACGTGGGGGTCCTGATCACTGCCCCACACCCGCAGCAACATGAGATCCTGCTTCCCAGCGGGCAGCGGGCAGGCTTCCTCATTGGAGACGGTGCAGGTGTGGGCAAAGGGCGCACGGTGGCTGGCATCATCCTTGAGAACTACCTGCGGGGCCGCAAGAAGTCCCTGTGGTGCGTGTTCCCCTGGCACGTGGGTTGGGTGGGGTTGGTGGGGGATAGCTGACACCCATCAGCCCTCACCCCTTAGGTTCAGTGTCTCCAATGATCTCAAGTATGATGCGGAGCGTGACCTGCGTGACATTGATGCCCCTGACATTGCGGTGCACGCGCTGAGCAAGGTGGGTGGGCAGCCCCCTCCCTGTCACCCAGTGAAGGGTCCTGGTGACCCACAAGCATGCCCATGCCCACCCCTCTCTCCAGATCAAATATGGTGACAACACTACCTCAGAGGGCGTCCTGTTCGCCACCTACTCAGCCCTCATCGGGGAGAGCCAGGCTGGTGGGCAGCATCGCACGCGCATCCGGCAGATCCTTGAATGGTGCGGGGATGCCTTTGATGGTGTGGTATCCTGGCCCATGGAGGGGTGGGAAGGGAGGAGGAGGCAGAGTAGGCACAAAGGAGGGGTGGGTGGAAGGGGCAGGAGCAGCAGAGCACCAGGGGTGGGAGGAGGAGGGAACTGGAGCGGTCAGAGAAGGGGGAGGAGTGGGCACTTAGGGTAGATCTGGGCTGGAGGAGGCAAGCTGAGGGGAGGGAGGAGTGGCTGCATGGATGGGGTTCCAGGGGTGGGGTCAAAGGAGGAGCTTGAGGGGCTCTTGGATCCAAGGAGGCTGGGAACATCCTGGTGTGGGAGGACTTCCTGTCAGAGGTCACAGGACTTGGGAGGCTCAGCCTCAGGGGAAGCTCTCTCTCTTGGTGACCGCTGCTCTCCAGCCCTTGCAGCCTGGCCAGGCCTCCTGTCTCCAGCTGGCAGGACTGTGACTATAGACTTTGGGTGGTGTTTGGTGGTGGGAAGATGCCACCTGGGCAGAGGCATGGGGTGCAGAGCCCTTCTTCCTCCTCCTGTCCCCACCCCAAGATTTTGGGGTTTCTCTACCTTTTCTTCCTTCTCTCTCAAAACTTAGATACTTGGATAACTTTGTCTTCTACTACTAGACTGCAAAAGCAAAGAATAGGAAAGTGGCAGCCAACAGCACAGTTTAACACGTCTTTGTTCACTTTTGTAAATTCCAGCTCCCTAGGCTTACCCCTCAAGTGAGGCACTGTGTGGGAGGCCCTCAGGTTCTGGGGATTTGTGCAGCGCCCTCCACCCCCGCCAAAATCCCAGGATCTGCCCTGGGCATGGATGTTGCTCCCCACATCCCCTCTGTGCAGCACTGGATCTGCTGAGTGCTGGGGGCACCTGCAGGGGCTCATCCTCCTGTGCGCCCCCTCCGGGGGTGTGCCCCATGTGCCATCTCACGTTAGTGTTCCCCCCACCTGAGCCAGGGCAGGTTTGCTTGTCACTGTGTACCATGCTGCTCTGTTCTGTTCTTACTCAGCCATTTCCCCGTCATGGGCATTCCTGGAGTTTCCAGTCTCTGTGTGGTACATAGCCCAGTGTGAGCCCATCACCCCTTCTCATTGTGTCCTTGGGGCCGTTCCAGAAGTGCAGTGGCCAGCTCTGGAGCTCCTGGTCGCAGGGTCGCAGTCAGAGATAAAAAGAGGGACGTGGACCCAGTGTACCCAAAGAAGAAACAAGGTTATTGGTGTGGTTTGGGCATGCATAGGACACCTTGCATAGCCGGGGGAAGGATAGTGTGAAAGAATACAACATTGACGTCTGACCCTGAGGGGTGAATGCTCAGCCCCACACTCACTTTTTCATTTGAATTTTGCAAATCCTCTGTCAGCCCTTTACTTGCATTTCACATGTACATGTGCACATCTGTGTAGACACATGCCTTGTTTTTAAAGTAGGCCCATGATAAGCATACTTGCCTGTAACTTTTTTTTCAAATTATAAGAGAAAGTTGATTTAGAAAGTTACAGAGGTAACAGAAGTGAACCAGCTGGGCTGCGTTGCCTCAGGAAGCAAGTTACAGAAGCAGAAGAAGGGCCCGTGGAACTTGACAGAGGGAAAGGCAAAGGGAACTCGCCTGGAGAGAAGAAGAAAGGGGCTTGAAAGGCAAGGGCAGATGTGCTTCCCAGAGGGAGATGCACACCTGTAACTTTTTCCCTTTAAAATATTAAGAACTTCCTACATCTTACAATTTGTTTCTTCAATATCTTTTTTTAATGGGATGAGTGTAGCTTTGTATGAAGTCCTAGAGAGAGACCCCATCTCCCCATGGGAAGTCATAGCCCACCTCTTACTCAGAGGCTTCTGTCTTTTCATGTTTATTGTCACATGTCTATATCAGTGTCACCTGTAAGGTCTTCACAAGGTCTTCACATGCCACGTTTCTTTTAGTAGTCATGTGGGGGCCTAGAGGTTGTTTCCCATTTGCCTTAGTAACCTTGCACACCCCAAGGCCCCCACCCATGGTCAGATCCCCCCCCCACCCAGGCACATTGCTGAGCTCACCAACCAAGAAGGGATAGGCTGGGATGGTCACCTTCTAGAATAGTCCTTAACCCATGCCCGCCAACGATCGTGTTTGATGAGTGTCACAAAGCTAAGAATGCCAGCTCCACCAAGATGGGCAAGGCCGTGCTAGACCTGCAGAACAAGCTGCCTCTGGCCAGGGTGGTGTACGCCAGCGCCACAGGTGAGCGGGGAGCTGCTGGGGGCAGGGAAGAAGCCTGATCACATGTTCAGGCAATCACTGATTGCAGCCAAGGCGGGGTGGGCGGTATCACATGTGTCATCTATTCGGTGACCTCACAGCCTGGCCCAGAGGTGGAGCTCACTCTCCCCAGGCCAGCAATAATTTCCACACTTTGTGCATGCCAGCCCCTATCAGGGGCTTCCCTCTGCCAACCAGGTCCAGCTCCCTAGCTGTGGGCATTTTTCTAGGACCTTCAGGTCCCCACACCTGGCCCTTGGGTCATTTCCTGTGCTGTCTCCATGATCCTCCCCCAGCCTTGCTGGGTAGGAAGAACTGATGCTGATTCCCATCCCTTCCCCTCCAGGTGCCTCCGAGCCCCGAAACATGATCTACATGAGCCGCCTGGGCATCTGGGGTGAGGGTACACCCTTTCGGACCTTTGAGGAGTTTCTGCATGCCATTGAGAAAAGGTGAATGCCCCTCCCTGTCCGTGGCAGGGGTGGCTGGGGAGCCACAAGGGCCCTGCTCATCACATGCAGAGGACTGGTGTCAATGTGCCCAGTCCTCACCCTGGCCCACACTCCTTCAGCAACCAGATGGATCTTAAAACACAAATCCTGCCCTTTCTTTATTGTCCAGTACTTTCTGTTGTTCTAGGGACAAGAGCCCCTTCCTGCTCTTCTTGCATCCCCAACAGCCCCTCCTCAGTCCAGGAAAATCAGGCAGATGGGAGCAAAGGGTCTTTGCACCTGCTGCCTGCATTCCCTCTGTGTACTTGGCCCTTCCTTGCCCTTCAGGGCTCAGCTCTGGGCGTCAGCCCCTCCATGGAGTGGCTCCATCACTCAGTGGGATTCAGTGTGTGGTCAGCCAGGGCCCTGCCAGTGCTCAGGCATCCCTGTCTCCATCCACAGGGGTGTGGGCGCCATGGAGATCGTGGCCATGGACATGAAGGTCAGTGGCATGTACATTGCACGCCAGCTCAGCTTCAGTGGTGTCACCTTCCGAATTGAGGAAATCCCACTGGACCCAACCTTCGAGCATGTCTACAACCAAGCAGCCCTGCTGGTGAGCAGGGCGGCCAGGGGTCTCTGACTGCATGAGCACACTGTGTATTTCCTCTTGAAATTATACCCATCACCTGCAGCATCTGTCTTTAAAGACACTACATGGATTTGTCAGGTTATAGAAAGGAAGAAGCAGCCAGCACACCTGCGGAGGTCTTTGGCCGGAGCCAGAGACTCGTTTCTGTTCAAGCCAGGGATTCTTAAGTGGCTATAGTGATGTAGGCTCCACCGCCCTCCCCTGATGTCACGAGCACTTTGCCCCTCAGCTGTTTTCAGCGTCTACATCTCTTGTGTGATGTGGCCTGGCCCTAATCTTCACCATCTCCTTTGTGTGTGGTGGGTTCCTGTGTCCTCACTGTCAGATCACACTCTTACGAGACAAACCCTGAGCATCGGCTCTGCCCATGCCGTATCTTTGCCTCGGACCAAGACAGGGTCTTCTCCTTGGCACGGCTGCCATCAGGACCAGGTCATTCGACGTGGGGGTCCACCCCGGGCGCTGCCGGGTGCTGAGCAGCGTCACTGGCTCCTACCCATTCAATGCCGGGAACATCCCCCAGGCCCCAGTTGTGACAGCCACAGATGTCCCAGACCTGGCCTGGTGTCCCCAGGGAACAGGATTATCCTGGGCAAGTTTTTTGTCTAAAGTGTTGAGAATCAAGTGCCTGCTGGTCGGAGTCACTGCAGATGCCTCTTCCCTTTTCTGAAATCATGCCTACACGTGGCATCACATGTTTTGGTTTTTTACTGTTTCTGACTGCTCAGGTATTTGCAGAACCTCTATGTTGCTCTATGTATGATCCCCACCCCCAATTCCAGCAGGGTGGGGCTGGGAGACAGCTGGGCAGTAGCGAGTTTCGCCTCGTGTGGCATGTCATTGCAGTGGGCCGAGGCCCTGGGCGTGTTCCAGCAGGCAGCCGACTGGATTGGCCTGGAGTCCCGCAAGTCCCTGTGGGGTCAGTTCTGGTCAGCCCACCAGCGCTTTTTCAAGTACTTGTGCATTGCTGCCAAGGTGCGCCGGCTTGTGGAGCTGGCCCAGGAGGAGTTGGCCAAGGACAAGGTGAGCTGGCGGCAGTGGTGGCTAGGCCTCTCCCCTACGTTCGTGCATTGGGGGGCGAGTGGGTGGATCTGGCACTAATGTCACAATCACAAACAAGCCCAAGTGTGACTGGGCTAAGTCCAGGAGGAAGGGTGGGGAGAGTGAACTGAGGTCCGGAAGGTTCTGGTCCTGCCTGACCCCAGCTCCCTGCAGCAGGCGGCAGGTGTGGCCTTGCCCTGGGCTCTCCACATCCAGGGCTACCAGGTCCCCAGAAGGAAACGACAGTAGTGAGGGGGTCTGGAGAGCTGAGGCCGGATGGCAGCTGCCGTGCAGAGTTCCCCGGTGGGTCTGGTTGTATGGGGGCCTGGCAGCCAGCCGGGACCCAAGGGGAGGAAGGAGGGAGACACTGAGGCAAACTGGGTGCTCTAGAGCTGTTGAGGGGGTTCCAAGCGGGCTCACTCCCACCTCACCCCCCACAGTGCGTGGTCATTGGGCTGCAGTCCACAGGCGAGGCACGGACTCGGGAGGTGCTGGATGAGAAGGATGGGCAGCTTGACTGCTTCGTCTCAGCCGCTGAGTGAGTGATGCACATGGGGACAGGTCGGGTGGCCACTCCAGAGACCTTCTCACCCTGTGGCTTGCTCAGCCTCCCCAGCAGTAACCTGTTGCTGGGCCCTACCCCGTGACTTCACCCATGGGAGGCTAGGGCACATTTGCTGAGCCTCATCCTCAGGGACCTCAGACCCAGCTTAGTTTTAAAGCCGCAAAGGTTAACTGTGGGAGCTCAGGGGTTGGAGGGTCATTGGAGTGTCCCAAGACTGCAGAATGAGCCCATCTCACATGGGGATGGTGCCGTTTTAAGGAATACTTCTCAAAGTTTAGAGACTGACCCTCAGGGTCCCCAAAACCCCAATCCTCTCTTCCCAGCCCATCGTGAGCAAGGGTCCAGCATGGCAGCTCTTCCTTATGGCTCAACCCCCAGGTCCCTGCACCCACCCTACCTTTCCTCATCTTGGGAGTCACCAAATGTGTCCACTCCCCTGTCTCTCTCCACCCAGCACCCCAGGCCACACCCAGTGCCTCACAGCAAAACCACCTCCTTGAGACTGTCCTTCAGACCTTACTGCACACAGGTCGGCACCCCCTCCAGGTCTCCTGGCAGACAGCATGCTCATTCTCATAGTAAGGATAAACTATGTTTCTCTCTTTCAGGGGCGTCTTTCTGTCACTAATTCAGAAGCACTTTCCTTCAACCAAAAGAAAGCGAGACAGAGGAGCAGGCAGTAAGAGAAAACGTAAGCACCCATCCTGCGTGCACTCTTGGCTTGTGGCCCTCCTAGGGCTCCCTTCTGTCCTCTCTCCTGCTGCTTCTCAGTCCCTCCTTTCTGAGCATCATCCCAGTTCAGCCAGTCACTCCTGCTGCTCCCTCTGCTTTAAGGGGTGCCCCTTTCCCACTGTCCACCTGCAAAGGAGGGCTGGGGAGGAGTGAAACCACTACCTGTAGGGAGGCATCCAGGGGTCAACAGGCACAGAGTGCCCTGACTGCAGTCTCCCAAGAGAGCTGGTGAGGGCAGCCTCCAGCTGCAGTGCCCGCTTGTGAGTTGCCATGAACTGACCCCCAAGTCAGACCCACACAGGGTGAAGGAACAGGGCTGGGCCCAGGTGATCTCTGGCTCCTCCCCTTTAGGGCGGCCTAGGGGCCGAGGGGCCAAGGCATCCAGGCCAGCATACGATATGGCAGGCGTGATCCGAATCAGTGATGACAGCAGCACCGAGTCAGATGCCGGCCTGGACAGCGATTTCCACTCTTCCCCCGAGTCCCTGGTGGACGATGATGTGGTTATCGTGGATGCTGTGGGGCTCCCTGCTGACAACCGTGGTGAGGCCCGTGACCCAGGGTTTCCCCTCTTTACAACTGGGGAACAAGCTCAGAGGGGGAGGTCAGTGCCCCATGGCTGGTCAGCAGTGGAGCTGGGTACACAAAGGCAGTCTGGGGTTAAGGAGAATGTCCAGGACCCTATACTTCCTCTGCACCTGCCTGTCCCTGAGCCTAGAGGGAACCCCTCATCCTCAAGGACCCAAGGCTGAGTTCTGCTGTGGTTTGGGTTTTGGTCAGGTTACCTGGCTGGTCACCCCCCTGACCCTGCGGCCCCCACAGGCCTCCTGTGTCCCCCACAGCGAGACCCCCATGGACCTGGTATCCTGGAGCGGGTGGAGCGGCTGAAGCAGGACCTGCTGGCCAAGGTGCAGGTGCTGGGCCGAGAGCTGCCAGTCAACACCCTGGACAAGCTCATTGACCAGCTGGGGGGCCCTGAACATGTGGCAGAGGTGAGCTCCGGAAGGGCTCCCATTAGGACTCAGACTCTGGTGCCCCCTGGTGGCCAATCCAAGTCCTCACTAGCACTGTGAGGATGGGAGGCCAACTGCAGGGTCCAGCATCCAGTTGTAGGGGGTGTGCCCACCTCCCACAATACCCCATGTGCCCCTGGGTCTATGGGTTCTGGGTGCAGTCTCAGGCCCCAGGATGGACTTCCAAACCCCCAATTTTCTCTGCCTGTCCTCTCTTCCCACCCACACTATACTCTTTCTTGTATGGGATGTTCCCGTGGTGCCGCCTCAGATCCTCTGTAGCTCTATGTTGCTGGTTCCAAGGCAAAGGTCATGTTCCAGCCCAGGGCCCACAGTCCTTCTCCTCACCCAGGGCAGAGGTTGGTGGGGGGAGACGCAGAAACTAAGGGACACGGGGACCAGCCTCTGTGCAGCCATGCAGGCTGACAGCATGTCCCTTGCTCCTGCCCTGTCACAGATGACTGGTAGGAAGGGCCGCGTGGTGTCCAGGTCTGACGGGACTGTGGCCTTCGAGTCTCGGGCGGAGCAGGGCCTCTCCATCGACCACGTGAACCTCAGGGAGAAGGAGCGCTTCATGAGAGGGGAAAAGGTGGGGGACATGGAGGTGGGCACTGTGTGCCAGTGTACGTGGGTGAGGAGGAAAAGTTTGTGAGGGCCTGCTGGATAGGAGACACAGGGGTTCTGAGTCTTAAGGAGCTGCCCTGGACCACTGATTGCTCCAGCCCCATGTGGCTGTGTGCCATGAGTGCTTTGCTTGGGTGTATGTGCCCAAGGTGGGGGACACAGGCCTCCCTGGCTACCTTAACTTTAGCCCTGGTGAAATCTGCCTGAAGAAACAAGAAAGCAGGCAGGGTGGGGCTGCCACTCCCTCCAGGGGTGACCTTGGGGATGGTCCACACTTCATTCAAAGCCTATGTGGCCCCCACCCCATAGAGTATGCCTCAACTTGCTGTGTGGTTCACCTTGAACAACACATCAGGGTGACCCAGGGCATATGAAGTATGTGGGTAAGGAAGAACAGGCACCACCTGCCCCACTACCCTGACCCATCCACATCCCCCTAGCTTGTGGCCATCATCTCTGAGGCTTCCAGCTCTGGAGTCTCTCTCCAAGCCGATCGTCGGGTCCAGAACCAGCGGCGCCGGGTCCACATGACACTTGAGCTGCCCTGGAGTGCTGACCGTGCCATCCAGCAATTTGGTGAGCCCTGCCACTCCCCAGGATACCCTTCCCCAGGATACCCAGGCATGCCCTCACCTTGACCCCACCCCATGGGGTGGCCCCTGAGAGCCCTTGTGTCTCTAGGCCGGACCCATCGGTCCAATCAAGTCTCTGCGCCAGAATACATCTTCCTCATCTCAGAGTTGGCCGGAGAGCGCAGGTTTGCCTCCATTGTCGCCAAGCGACTAGAGAGCCTGGTGAGTGGTCAGGCTGAGCCCGAGTGAGATGGGTGGGGGTTGGTCATGGGAGTTGTTGGGGGGCCACCTGAGGAGGGGAGTGGGGAAGAGTGTGGGCAGTGTGTGAAGGCTCCCCCATCCCCAACAGGGGGCTCTGACACACGGGGACCGTAGAGCCACTGAGTCCCGAGACCTGAGCAAGTACAACTTTGAGAACAAGGTACCAGAGAGGTTGGGGGTTCTGGAGAGGAGGGGTCCCAGGTGCCTGAGCCCAGCCTCTGACCTGGTCCTTCTGCTCAGTATGGCGCCCGGGCCCTCAGCTGCGTCCTCACCACCATCCTGAGCCAGACAGAGAACAAGGTGCCCCTGCCCCAGGGCTACCCAGGAGGGGACGCCGCTTTCTTCCGGGGTGAGCTGAGGGTGTGGCACCTGGGGGATCAGTTTGGGGCACTGGGATTGGTAGACTGGATTTGTGTCTAAAGATCCCTCCAACACCCACCAAAGGGACTGTGGTGGCAGAGGGACCAGGGGCAGGCTGGGGCAAAGGGCACATGTGAAAACTCTCTCCTGCAGACATGAAGCAGGGCCTGCTGTCGGTTGGCATCGGTGGGCGGGAGTCCAGGTCCGGCTGCCTGGATGTGGAGAAGGGTGAGTGCCCCTTACCCTCCAGGTGGGCTGGGTGAGGAGTGGGCAGGCGGGGTGGACACAGCCTGAGGCCCTCCTGCCCCGACAGACTGCTCCATCACCAAGTTCCTCAACCGAATCCTGGGGCTGGAGGTGCACAAGCAGAATGCGCTGTTCCAGTACTTCTCTGACACCTTTGACCACCTTATTGAGGTGGACAAGAAGGAGGGCAAATATGACATGGGCATCCTGGGTAAGTGCCCCCAGGGGAGAAGGAACTGACTGCCAGCAGCCCACATACCAGGCCCTCACCAAGTACACCAAGGGCCAAGGGGTCTCTTACTAGTAAAGCTTTATTCATAACTCTGCAGACGACCTAACTGTCCCCAGGATAGCCATGCAGAGAGGGACCCAAAGAGGCAGGCAGGCTGGTCACACCTGGTGTGAGTGACCTGCACCTTGTGGTTGGGACCCCAGGCCACCAGACTGGAGGGGCTGCTCACACTCCAGGATGTGGGCAAGGTCAGGACGAGGCTGATTCTGCTGGGGGAACCTCCTCTATGGCCACCTGAAAACTTGGGATTGACACCCCTGCCAAAGCTCAGAAGCTGGAGCCAGCTGAGCAACACTGAGCCTCATTTGATTGAGGAGACATATGGCCCCCAGGTGGGACCCTGCTCACCCTGGTGTCCTCTCCAGACCTGGCTCCGGGCATCGAGGAGATCTACGAAGAGAGCCAGCAGGTGTTCCTGGCCCCCGGGCACCCGCAGGATGGGCAGGTGGTCTTGTACAAGGTGAGAGGACAGTGGCCTGCCCTGACCCCTGCCCCAAGCACCCGCCCCCGCCCCTGCCCCTAATGCCTGAATGCTGTGGCAGATCACTGTGGACCGTGGCCTGAAATGGGAGGAGGCGTACACCAAGTCACTGGAGCTGACAGGCCCCCATGATGGCTTCTACCTCTCCTACAAGGTGGGCAACCCTGGGGGCCAGCTTGGGGAAGGGCAGGCAGTGCTGCGAGGATAGAGGTTCAGCTTCCAGCCCCGTGCCCTCCCCAGTACAACTGCATTGGGGACCCCCAGCTAGGACATGCGGCTGCCTGTCCCAACCTCACAAGACCCCCCTGCCTAGGCTCGTGGCAACAAGCCGAGCTGCCTCTTGGCCGAGCAGAACCACAACAAGCTCTTCACCGTGTACAAGCCCAATATTGGCCGGCAGAGCCAACTGGAGACCTTCGACAGCCTGTGCCGGAAGTTCCACCGGGTAGGGGTAGGGGCAGGGGCAGGGGCAGGGGCAGGGGAGGAGACGGGGAGGGAGGCCCCAGGATGCCCATGTCCCCAGGTTTATGTATCTGTTACTCTGGTTGCCCTGCTGTGACCCGTCCCTGATAGGGCTTCCAGCTGGCCACCAAGAGGGGGTAGCCAGGTGTGAGGTGGGTTGGCCAGGAGCACGCTGAGCCTCAGGGTACTAGAAGTGTGGATCGGCCTTTCATTCAGGGTCTAGCGTGACTATGTGTCCCTAGGTGACAGCAGAGGAGGCCAGGGAGCCCTGGGAGAATAACTACACCTTGTCACTGAAGCACTGCAGCCATACCTCGTGGTGAGGACTAGGGTTGGATTGGGTTGGGGGTGCAACTGCATTGGATGGTACTATCCCATTTTCTCTGGGCAGCTCTACTAGTTATGGCCTGCACATGCTACACAGGGCAAGGGGCACTTTGGGCATCTGGGGCATCCCAGGACTTTCAGGAGGTGGCACTTAAAGAAATAAGCGGTGCTAGAATGGGGGAGAAACCTATGGGGCTTGGGGAGGACTGCAGGGTCATTGGGGGTAGGTGCGTGGGGCATTGTGTCTGAGCCTCCCTGCCTGCCACACAGGAACCGGCAATGCCGGCTAGTGCAGGAGGGCAAGGACTGTGTGCAGGGCTTGAGGCTGCGGCACCACTACATGCTGTGCGGAGCACTATTGCGGGTGTGGGGCCGCATCGCCGCTGTCATGGCTGATGTTACCAGCAGCAGCTACCTGCAGATTGTTCGCCTTAAGACCAAGGACAAGAAGAAGCAAGTTGGTGAGCGTGCCAGCTGGAAGGGGGTGTGGGAGTGGGTGGGTGGGTGCTGTACCAGAGGCCTTGACCCACCATCCTCCATGTGTGCTGCAGGCATCAAGATCCCTGAGAGCTGCATCCCCCGAGTGCTACAGGAACTGCAACTCATGGATGCAGATGTGAAGCGCAAGAATGTGCAGGGCCAAGGCTATCCACTGCCACTGCCGCCACCACCAGCCCTGCGCCCACTCTCACTGCCCTGCGGCCCTGGTGAGGTCCTGGACCTTACATACAGCCCACCAGCGCAGGTCTTCCCACAGCCCTCACCCTTTGCCTTTCCACTTCCCCCAGACCCTACTCCCACGCCCAGTGGACTGCTGCTGGGCTCCCCCAATACCCCAGCTGACCCTGCAGCTCTCATGCACCAGGGTTGCAACATCAACTTCAAAGAGGTGCTAGAGGACATGATGCGTTCCTTCAATGCTGTGCCACCTCCAGAGCCCCCTGGGGCGCTGGGCATTGGTGCAGGGATTGTGGGTGTACCAGGGGGTGGTGGGGGCCCTGAGCGGCAGAGTGTTATCCAGTTCAGCCCCCCTTTCCCCAATTCCTAGGCCTGGGCTCCAGCACACAGCCAGGCATTCTCCCTGGACAAAACTTATTTATCTGTAATATGCCACAGACATGGTCTTGTACCAAAGTGGGTGGTGAGCAGGGCAGGTCCCCCTGCCAACTACTGAGAGGAAGCGGGGCTAGCCCGCCCCTCATCCAGCCAACCAAGGCCTCCACTGCAGTGCCTTCCCCGGCCGGTGCCTGGGCAGACCCCTCAACATGCTGCCACCCTGCCCAGGGGAACAGCGAGTGTGCACATCCCACTCGGACTCAGGTGGGGCCTGGGGGCAGAGGGTGCCCCTCGCCTCTTCACTCCTGCCCTCCAGGCCTGGGTGGGACTCCCCTCCCCAGCCCACCCCATCAGGCCTGGAAAGACCAGAACCCCTGAAATACACAAAACTGGGTGGCCCCAAGAGCTGGAAACTCAGGAAACCCCCAGTTCGGTTCTCAGGGCCTTCGTCTCCGGGAGGCTGTGTGGGGCAGACGCCCCATTAATATATGCAATTCCCCTACCTGCTCTCTGCTCCCTAAATTATTGCCCAAGTGCCTCTTCCAGGCCCCAGAATCTGCCTGTGGAACTGGAGGGGTGGTGGGTGGTCCCTGGTTTCTATGTGTATTTATAATTCAAGTGTATATATGTAAAAAGATCTTTTTTAAATATATGTGTCTTTTCACTACTCCCCAGGCTGTCTGCTCCTCTGGACTGCAGGGGAAGTGAGGAGGGAGGGTAGGGGTGCCACTACACGTCCACTCCACAAGGGGCACGTAGGAGATGCCTGGCCTGTGGGGAGTGTGAGAGAGTGAAACCCACCCATTGTTTGCCCATTGCTTTGACGAGCCAGGATGGGAGAGATAGGTCCACCGGGTAGGACCCTTGTCTACTGCGTGGTTCCAGTATCAGCATAGCAGGGCAGCTGCCTCGGAACTGGCTGAGCCAGACTTGTATCTGGGACCAGACACTGCGCTGTCTACCTTCTGCCCCATAGAGACAAAGCCCATCTGAGACCCTTGTGAGACCAATTCCTCATTTGTCATACCCCCTCCCCACATTGTATAGGGCTTTGGCCTAAGTTTCCTCCCAGGGCTTCCTCAGGGGTATTGGGGTGCTGGTTCTACAGGGGGCTGCTCAGGGACGGGAAGGCCCGAGAGCTGGATCTGGTACGGGAAGCAGGAGTGGACTCCAAGCCCCTCCTGGGAGCTGTGGGAAGTACACCAGAAGCCAGGGCCTGTCTTCAGTCAGAAAGCTGAGTAGTAGGTGGGAGCTACCTCCCTCTGCAGATTCCCACCCCTTGCTTGCTGGCTTTCCCTGGGGAACTAGATGGGGGAGCAGGGGGGTGGGGACATAGCTACTCTCCAGCTATGTCACTTCCCACTCTTCTGGGGAGGACTGTGAACAACTACTCCTGTTTATAAGTGAGGACCATGAGGAGGCTTGGGTGTCCTGGCTCTGTCCACACAATGAAGCCAGTCTGTTGAGCAGGCCCTGCCCAGCATGGCTGTGTGCCAGGAGCAGCTTGGCAGCTGCTCAGCCCCAGATGCCTGGCTCCCCTGACGCTCCCACCTCTTCCCACTGGGGAAGACCACCACTCTGGGCAGGCCCCAAACAGCTGCATCAGGTCAGGTTAAGGCCCTGAGCCAGGAATAGTACCAGGCATTAGGAGAAATTAGTACCTGGAGGATCAGCTCTTGCCCGTGCCCAAGGGGTGGGGCTGCCAAGATTAGAAGCAGGGCTGTAGAGTAGGTGCAGCCCTCTGAACCCTAAGGGAACTCCGCCCCCATGTTGATCCCCCAGGGAAGCAGAAGTACCCAGCAGGTCAATTTGTACGTTTTATTCCCACAAGACAGCTAGGGGGAGGGGATGCCGAGCTACAATCCAGGCCGGGCTGAGGGCCTTCCTCCGGCAGGGGTGCACGCCAGGTTCTCAGGTCTGCCCCACCAGTGGGCTGGTTTTTAGACAGACTGTCATGGGTGCCGGGTGGAAAGCTCCAAGGAGCACGGGTGGTAGGCTCGGATGGAGGGTACACACTTGTGGAGTTACAGGTAGCAGGGCAGGTCCTTCTCTATGACCTGTGGGAGAAGCAGGGTCAGGGATACCTCTTTTGGTGAACCCACCCCCAGCAAGCTCCCTGGAAAGGCACTTACCAGGGGCTCTTCCATGGGACCATACCGCTTCACTACACAACCGTTCTTGTCAATGAGGAACTGTCAGGACAGGTATCATTAGCATGAGGCCACTGCCAGGGGACCCCTGCAAGAAGGCTGGGGGCAAGCAAGCATCCTCCACCTGTTGCCCCATTAAGGCCAAGCCTATGGCCTCTTGGGGTGGGGGCACTGAGCTGGCCTCAGACACAGACCTGGCCCATTCTGCCCCCCAAAGCCCTTCCTTACCTTGGTGAAGTTCCACTTGATGGCACTACAAAAGAAGTGACAGATCATGAGAAATCCCATGGCAACTGCAGCACCATCCCCTGGGGAGTCATCCTGCCCTGCCCTCCCCTCCCCCCACTCACTTTCCCAGGATGCCCCTTCCCTTGGGCTGGACTTTCATCCACTTCCACAACGGGTGGGCGTCATCCCCATTCACACAGATCTTGCTATACATATCGAATTTGACATTATAGCCGGCAGCGAACTCTTTGATCTCTGCATTAGTCCCTGGCTCCTATGGCAAGCAGGGGTGCTTGGGTCAGTGGGAAGAAATATGTACCCCATTTTGGTCCCCACTTCTGCAGACCCAGACCCTCTCCCCATGTCCACACACAGGACAACAAGGGACACAAGGCACACACCTGCCTCCCGAACTGGTTGCAAGGGAAAGCCAGGATCCGTAAACCGCACTCAGCATATCGGGCGTGCAGGTCGACGAGCTGAGTGTAGTTTACGTCTGTTTTGCCTCATTGCGAGGCCACGTTGGTGACGATGCACACGAAGCCCCTGGAGATGGAATGGGGTCAAAGCCGCTGGCCTTCCCTCTGCCTCCCCCACCAGGTTGGCAGGTACGTACCGGTACTTGTCCAGGTTAACCATGTGCCCGTCGATGTCCTTGGCTGAGAACTCGTGCATGGACTGAGCACAGCGCCAGTCGTCGCGGGAGGCGCACTGCAAGGCAAGGGCGCCCTGAGCGGCTGGTGGACCTCGGGGCATGGAGACACCAGCCAACTCATCCAGCCCACGGTCCCCAAGGGAGGACGAGATCCCAAGTGAAAAAGGGCCCTGAAGCAAGTAAAAAGTGAGGGCTCCTCCTCCTCAAAGGTGCACGCACCCTGCGCAGTGGGGCGTGTTTAACCGCGGACACCGAGGCCCAGGAAAGGTTGGGGATCCTGCCAGGTGCCCCAGCAAGCATGGGGGCGCCTCTGGCGAGTGTGGGGGCCCCGCGCGCACCGGATCCTGATATTTGACACCACAGCCACTCTCCCAGGACGCCGGCTGTGCCCGTTCCAGGCATTTGGAACAGGGTTCCTTCCGGCGAGGGCGCGTCCTCCGGCGCCCGCAGGCCGGTGCCTTCCGTCGCCTAGGGGATCGGTGGCGGCGGCGGCGGCGGCGGCGGCGCCGCCGCCGCCTGCCCGGCAACCGGCGCCGCCGTTTGCAGCGATCCCGGGAGCAGGCGGCTGCACGGCCCATGCCAATCCTTCTCCAGATGTTCCGGTGCCCACCGAGTGCCACACCAGGGGAACAAAGGACCGGTAACCAGGGCTCCCGGCCGCCCATCTGTGACGCCACTGCGCAGTGTCCCAGGGCGTACAGGGCGGGGGAGGGGCGGGGGATTAACCTGCCCAAGGGGCGCCCTCACTCTGCGGGCTCCGGCCTGGGCGTCAGCAGCCGAAGGCCCCCCAGTTGCCCCGACGCAACAGACCCTGCGCGGTCCGAAAGACCCAACCGCTTAGCTTTGCCCACTGATCTCCGGACACTGCCCCCAGCCATGATCCCGCCCGTACCCCGGACCTTGAGCTACCCACCGCCCGGACAGTCGCCTCGCGTGCGCGCCGGACGGCGCCCTCCCACCCAAGGTCACTGTGGCCCCGGGCGTCGCGGTGGAGGCCGCGCGTCCACCCCAACGGCCCGATGGCCCGAAAGCCAGCGCTGCGCTCACCATGGTGCTGGCCAGGCCTGGCGCAGCCAGAGCCCCGCACAGAAGGGCCGGCTTCAGTAGACGGCACAGGCGGCTTAAGTTCATCGCAGCGGAGGAGGCGCCTAAAAAGTAGCGGCTCCACCCCACACCGAGCGGACCAATGGACGCGCGCCGGCGCCCCTAGCCTCCCCGCCCTCGACCACGCCCACCAGAGTTCTCATTGGCCAGTCGCTCCGGCGCTGTGACTCGTGGTAAAAATAGCCAATGAGAGGCGGGAATGAACGGCGTTCGTGGGTGGGGCCGCGGGTTGCGGTTTTGTTGCTGTCTGTGACTGCGCCTGCTCGTAGGCGGGTGGGCGGCCGCGAGTACGTAAGCTGCTCGTTGGTGGCGGTGAGACAGTTATCCGGGTGATAGGCCAGAGCTCCGCGGGGTACCTGACAAGCTGAACTGGAAACCCAAGGGGAGATAGCTCGAACTCGCAGAGAAATAGCCCCACCTCATTGAAAACTGGGGAGTTTGTTTTTAACGTCAATAAAAACCAAACTGGGGGCCAGACTTTATCTCTCTCGGGGCTGTGGGGGCGCCTCGACTCCATCTGTGGGCGCCCAGGGATTGCATGGGGGGGTCACCTAGTGGCGGGTGCCCCTGCCGAAGTCGTCTGCTGCCGCAGTGTCCGCCATAGAGCACAGTGGCCGAGGCATTACCGTCTTAGAGGAACCGTCGCTTTAGCCGCTTATATAAGTCACACCTGAGGTGGGGGGCGGTTGTTAAATCAGACTCCCTGGTATTCCATCCCCCGGGAGGACACTCGGGGTTGCCCAGGTGTGTGCTTACAAGGAAAAACTACCCCAGAGCGACGTCTCCACTTCTAGCATTACAGGCAAGTACGCACACAGAACCAGAAAGGCCCCAGTAAAACCTTAGACACTTGGCCACAGCGGTCAGAAAAATGACCCACCCCATTCTTGGGACCTGAATCATGGAATTCCACAGCAGGCCTGGCTGACCCCACCCCCATGCCCCAGCCATTACTGGACCTTGACTTTGGGACAGCAGGGTAGTTTCAGCCTTTTTGTGCTCTGTAAACTTCTCTACCCTTTGCTCAGAGCATTTGAGAAGCTCTGAGAACATTTCTACATTCCTCCCATGAACATTTCTACATAGGCCAGGGGGCAGGAATTCTTGGGCTGAGTTGATTTGGCAGAGCCATTGAGCCCTCTCTCTCCCTCTGCCACAGACCCAGGGCTGTTAGAAGGCAGAGCGGGGGCTTAAATGGCCAAGTTGGGTGGTAAAAGTAGGGGAGGGAAAAATTCCCCCAGGCTGGGTTGCTGCATTCTCTTTGCACAATGTTTACTGTGGCTTCTTCCCTCCAATCAGGCCACCAAAAGAGTTCTCAAGTTCAGGGAAGGGAGCATTGTTTCAGGTGGGCCTCCTCACTTCTCAGGAATAACCCTCATGCCACTCCCAGCATTTCCTCCCCTTGGCAGCACTGGTGTCCCTGCCAGTCTGTCTGGCCATGAGGAAGACTCAGCTCTTTCCATTTTCGTTTAAGTTGTGATCTGTTGTTATTTGCTGTACAGTAATTCATTTTGGAGTTGCCTGAAAAACAGCACAGGGCGAGGCCCCCATGAAGTGCACCAAGGATGAGAGATGATGGAACATGGGGCTTCATCCCATTCCTAACTTCCTGCCAGTTGCATAGAAGGAGATAAGAGCAGGAGAGGAGACAAGCCTGGTGCGGGGCTAGGGCAGCTGCCCAATGGGGAAAGTGGGGAAGTGCACCCCAGGCTCTGCAAAGGGTTTGCCTTTGGAGTTTCACAGCTTTTGCCAGAGTAATCTCATTTTACAGATGGGGTAATGGGGTCTTGGGGCAGTCTCAAGGTTCCAGGAAGGCTCCCCTGTGGTGGCTGGATTCCCTAGTGGGGAAGGTGAGTTGCCCACTGACCAGAGGCCTTTCCAGAGTGCCATCCAGCTCCAGGAAGGACTGGACAGAGTCTTTCCTGTGGTCTGATTTTCTTTTTAAAAAAAATAAGATAAAATTTACATAACATAAAATTCACCATTTTAATCACTTTAAAGTATAGAATTAAAATGATTTTTGTATATTTGCAACATTGATCAGCACCTTTATTTAATTACAAAATATTCATCACCTCAAAAGAAACCTAGTCCTGCCCTGGCTGGTATGGCTCATTGGTTTGAGTGCCAGTCTGCAAGGTCTCTGGTTTGATTCGCAGTCAGGGCACATGCCTGGGTTTCCAGCCATGTTCCCACCCTGAACACCCGTTGGTTGTGTGCGAGAGGCAAGGCAAGTGCTGTATCTCTCACACCTCAGTGTTTCTCTCCCTCTTTTCCAATCTTTAAAGAAATAATAAAAATAAAAGAACCCCAGTCCTGGTTAGCAGTCACTCCCCATCCCCCACAGCCCCGGACAAATGTTAACTCACTTCCTAACTCTGTGAGTTTTCCTATCCTGTCACTCTGTGGCCTTTTGTGTCCGGCTTCCCTCTCTGAGCGTCATGTGTTCAAGATCCATCTATGTTGTAGAGAGTGTCAGAGCTTTGCTCTTTTTCGTGGCTAAGTGATATTCCAGTGTGTGGCACTGGAGGCACAGAAAATTTAAATATTGTGCCTCAGGCCACATAGCTAAGATTGGTCCAGGGTCAGTGAACACCTGCTTCTTCTACTGCTTGCTCCTTTTCCTTCTCTGTCTCCTGGCCTCTGGGCTGGATCTGCTGGTAACCTTATCCAGGTTCCCAGCGCTAATCCCCACCACTTCTGTAACCATTCACCCTCTGATGTACGTCTGGGTTGTTTTCACCTTTTGGTTTTGTAATCCTGTCCAAGTTGTGGTATGGGCATGTATTTTCATTTCTCCTTATGTACATAGGATTGGAACTACTGGAGCACACAGTAACTGTCTGTGACTATTTGAGGAGCTGCCGGACTGTTTTCCACAGTGGCTGACCCATTGTACGTGTCCACCCACACACTTGTGGGTGGGGGCCTTATCTCTGAGCCTCAGGCTCTGTCAGGTGGCATATCACAGTGGGTGGTATGAAGGAGCAAGTTGCTATGCTTTGTCCTGGTGCTGAGGCCACAGGGTCACTGGCAGGACTCTGAGTTATTTGCATTGTGGTCAGGCCCTGCCAGCCTCTCTGGGGCCCTGAGGCCTACTTGCTCTCATGAGCCCTTTCTCCTGTCAAAACCTAACCTAGTCCTTCACTCTTGTCCCCACTGCTCCCCTTTGCATCAAGTCACGTCTCCAATTCCTTCCCTCCTGCAACCTGCCCCGTACAGGCATTCACCCCCTCCTTGGATCTGCCCTCCCTAAGGTCACAAACAATGTCAACTCTGCTAAACTTCTGCCCAGTCCTTAGGCTTGCTCAGACTCACAGCTTGATGAATCATTGTGGTTGTTTTTAAGATTTTATTTATTTTTAGAGAGAGAGGAAGAAAAGGAGAAAGAGAAGGAGAGAAACATCAATGTGTGGTTGCCTCTTGTATGCCTACTACTGGGGACCTGGCCCACAACCTAGGCATGTGGCCTGACTGGGAATCAAACCAGCGACCCTTTAGTTCGTAGCCCACACTCAATCCACTGAGCTACACCAGCCAGGGCCAGTTTGATTTGGTGGTTTTGATGGCTGCTCCCTCCTCCTCCAGACACCTTCTTCATCTGGTTCCAGGACACCTAGCAACCTATGCCCTTTATTCTATGTAAGAGCACTTACATAATGTCAGTGCCAGGCACTCAGTCCTTAGCCAAGTCACCCTAGGAAGTGGGTACTATTCTTGGCAGGGGGAGGGAGGCACTGAGGCACAGAAAATTTAAATATTGTGCCTCAGGCCACATAGCCAAGATTGGTCCAGGGTCAGTGAACACCTGCTTCTTCTACTGCTTGCTCCTTTTCCTTCTCTGTCTCCTGGCCTCTGGGCTGGATCTGCTGGTAAGCTTATCCAGGTTCCCAGCGCTAATCCCCACCAGGTGCCCATGGTGCACACACATCTGTCTCCACTTGGCCCTCGCCCTGAATTCCACACCCATATCCTCCCTGCTTCATCAGTGTCTGCCCTTGGGGTCTCACTGGAGGCCCTCAAGCTCTGCCCTCTGGGTCTTCCCATCCCAGTCAGGACAACTCTGTTCTCCCTCATCTCCAAATCCTGCCCTGCAAATCCTGTGGGTGCTTCTTTCATGGCACCTAGACCTGGATCACTGTTCCCCACTCTCAGGGTGGGACATCCTGTGCAGCCCCTCCTTTGTCTCTCTAAAAATGGCTGAAAAGAAAACCCAAACTTTTCAACACTATCAACAATGCCTCCTACATCTGCCCCACCCCACCCTCTGCCCTCCCCACACACGCCTCCTGCTGCCAACCAGGCAAGGTACAGCCTCAGAGCCTTGGCATGGACTGTATGTACCCTGATACACCTTCCTCCTGACAGTCCCACCTCCCTCCTTCTCCTCCTTCTGGGTCTTTGCTGTAACCTTTCCTGGCCTCCCATCTGACACTGCAATCTTCCCATTTCCCATAGCTGGCCAAGCTCTTACAAAATATCATCACCTTCTCACATTATTGTCTATTATGTTCACTGTTCTATCCTGTCTATCCCCAGAATGTCAGGTGTGCTTGTCTTGTACATATCTGTTCAGTACATATATATCTGATTGAATGTATTACTGAATGAGAAGTGACTGATGGCCTCCACGTGGCAGAGACTGGGTTGGGTTTGGTAAGCCTCCTGCACGAACTCAGGGAGATATCCAGGCGGAGACAAGGCTGGGGTTCACAGGACAGGAAAGGGTTAAGGACAGAAGTGGGAGCACGTTAGAAGCACCTGGTGCTTTGCCAACCTCATCCCAAGTATGGTTGTCCCTTCAGATTCTCCGCTAATCCTTTCAAACGGGGACACTTTATTATTTCCATTCTACAGATGGGAAAACTGAGACTGGAGCCATTAGGTTGCACGTGGCTCAGAGCCAACTGAAAGGACTTCCATATAGTTGGATGCACGCATACTTATGGAGCAACTACTAGGCAACCCGACTGTTCCTAGGAGGACCCCTGGCCCAATTTTCTCCCTTTTCAGTTTTCTCATTTCAGCCTGTTAGGGTTCTAAACTGCCACCCTGAGGCTGCTGTTTAGAAGAAACTGATTCTGGAGATGCCGTGCAATCAAAAACCCGCTTGAGCTTCCGAGGCGAAAGTGGACAGCGCGGTTTGCACGCCACTGGCGCACCCAACTGCCGCACGAGGAAGGGTTGGGCTGCCTTTGGCACTGCCTCTCGGGAAGGTAGGTGCATTCAGGCGTCTGCTGAAGACAGCCTTAGACTGGCAGGCTGAAGGGGCCTGACCGGGGTGGCGCACGCGCAGTCAGCTCGGGTCTTGCAAGGCGCGCAGGCGCTGGGAGTGCGAGGGGCGGCAGGCATGGACGATGAGGAAGAGACTTACCGGCTGTGGAAGATCCGCAAGACCATTATGCAGGTGAGTCGCTGTGGGGCCTCCTGGTTGGCGCGCGCGGTGAAGGCGGGCCTCAGTTGCCCAGTCGGGAGTCTAGAGTCTGTCTTCCCGGGATGTTTGCTGTGTCTTCGTGGCAGGGTTTTGTCTACATGAAGAACGTCCAGACCTGTAAAGACCTTTTTTTTTTCCCAAATATTTTATTTACTTATCTTTAGAGGGGAAGGGAAGGAGAGAGGGAGATAAACATCAATGTATGGTTGCCTTTCGTGCGCCCCCTGCTGGGAACTGGTCTTCAGGGAGCGGGCCTGCAACCCCAGCATGTGCCCTGACTGGGAATCGAACCGCGATTGTTTGGTTCTCAGGCCCGTGTTCAATTCACTGAGCTACACTAGCCAGCCAGGGCATGCTTGCTTTTTTTTTTTTTTTTTTTAGTTATTATTATTTTTTAAAGTATTTTATTTATTTATTTTCAGAGAGAGGGGAAGGGAAGAAGAAAGAGAGGGAGAGAAACATGAATGTGTGGTTGCTTCTCACGTGTCCCCCACTGAGAACTGGCCTGCAACCCAGGCATGTGCCCTGACTGGGAATCGAACTGTGATCCTTTGCTTCACAGGCCCGCGCTCAATCCACTGAGCTACACCAGCCAGGGCAAGAACTTTTGTAACAGTTTATTTTAAGCAAAACTGACCACATTCCGGGAAGCAAGATGTCAAATACCCTTTCGGAGAATGACAACGTTGTAGTTTCTTTTTATGCGTTTGGAATTGAGGGAGTGTAAGGAAGATTGCGTGAGGGCGAAAGAAAACAATGCAGGGATTGGATTACAGGGTAGATAACAAAAGTATGAGCTCTCCTGAGGGCAGTTACGCATATTTCAAAGGTGTGTTAACTTATGTGCAGAAGAACAATGGACAGGGCTTACTTAAGGCAAAAGGTGAAACCTTTTGCTAAAAGAGTAATAGGTCTAGGATGTGGCTACCCACTATGACCTGACCAGTTAGGGATTTATGATCAGATCTCCCTTTGAGGTTACTTTCCATAGAACCCTTTTCTGTTCATAGTCTCTTGTTTATTTCTTGGAAGGCCCCAAGTGCATAAGACAGAATTCTAGAATTATGGGGCTAGAAAGAACCTAGCTCCTGTGGCAGGAATGACCTGCCATCATCCACTATGGACATTTCTCTGATCTCTCTGGTGGCTACTTCTGTGTTTCAGCCATCAACTTTGAGTTATTTGGGATAGAGTGATAGCAAGCTGGCTGAGTAGTCACTATGTGCGATGTGCTTCAAGCCACCCCATGGGAGGGGGCCATTGTAATCCCCTGAGACTACAGAGGTCTGGGGTCTTGACCAAGACCTTGGCCTCTGCACTTGCCTCACAGGAATCCTGCTGCGACAAAGGGCGGGCAGCCAAACCCAGCTTCTTCACTGCTTTGCAAAGCTTCCCCACAGGCAGGGACTGAAACAGTTGTGCTACAGACTGACAGTGTTGGATTCTGAGAGAGGATCAGGCTGTGGGGACTTCACAGAGGAAAGGGGATGGGGGGGCCAGGCTGAGTAGCAGCTCTGACCTCCCCCTTTTCCATTTGGGTCTTCTAATCAGCCTACTCAGAGAACCCTGGTGTCCAAGACAAGACCTACACTGCTTGCCCTCAAACTCTTGCCTGGTTTCCCAACCAGAGTCTGCCTAGCCAGTCTAGCAACACTCCTCCCACCCAACTGTCTTCTTCTCCCCCAGGGCCCCAACCCCAAATCCCAGCCACGTAGCTGCTTCCCAATCACACTTCCCAAGGTTCAGGATAAATTGACAACACCCATGGCAGCTGGTTAACTGGAGTAGTGCAGCGGTTGTCTTGGGGTGTGCCCCATCCTCGTCCCCACCTTCCCCATTCCTCTTCTTTGGCCTCTTCACACACCTGCCACTCTGAGCCCCAAACTCCCTATGGCTCTTGCTGCTATCCCTCCTCCACCCTGATGTACCTGGTTCTTTCTGCCCACAGCTGTGCCATGACCGAGGCTACTTGGTGACTCAGGATGAGCTAGACCAGACACTAGAGGAGTTCAAGGCCCAGTTTGGGGACAAGCCGAGTGAAGGGCGGCCACGGCGTACAGACCTCACAGTGCTGGTGGCCCACAATGATGACCCCACCGACCAGATGTTTGTCTTTTTCCCAGGTCAGTGCCTTGCTAGTACCTGAGGGGTCACAGTTCTGATGGAGCCATCTGAGGGCCTGCTCAGGATCCAGCTTGTAACAACCCCCTGCTGTGTGACCCAGAGAAGAGAGCTCCCCTTTGCCCCATGTGCTGTGGGCAGTGTCATTAATCTCTGACCCCTCTGGGTGCCTTTCCAGTGTTCTTGGTCTCCTTTCCCATTCTATTCTAGGCTCTTTATTTCGACCAGGATTATCATAGGCCTTCCAGGCAAGCCCTCAGCCTCTCCTGACCTCAGACCCATTGTGTCCTTCCCCCACCAACTCAGCCTCCATTCGCAGCACCTGCATCTCCTGCAGCTCCTTCCTGCCCTGTGGGGGGCGGGGGGGGGGCGGGGTTCTTGCCTCTTTCCTGCCAATATCCCCACCTCACCACACCCTTTCCTCCTCCCTCTGCCTGCTCAGTGTCCAGTCATTGCCCCTGGAGGTTTTGCTCAGGTGCTTCCTCTACTAGGACCCCCGCTGAGCCCCAGGTTGAGTGAAGAGCCATTTCGTGGTGTCCTGAGACTCCTGATTTCCTCCATCTTAACACCTACCCCACTGCAGCCTTGCTCTGAGGCCTGTGAAAGGTGCTAGGCTGTGTCCGGCGCCTTGGGGGCCAACTCTGCCCAGAATGCAAGGGGTGGGCAGAAAACATTTACAGAGCAGAACCTGGTAGCACTTAAAAAACAAACAAACAAAAACCTGTTTGTTTGTTTGTTTGTTTGTTTGTTTTTAGAGAGACAGGAAGGGGGGGGAGAAAGTTGTGAGGCATTGATCGGTTGCCTCTCACATACCTGCAGCTAGGGACCTGGCCTACAGACACAAGGCATATGCCCTGGCTGGAAATTGAACTGGTGACCTCTTGGTTCACAGGCCAGAGCTTAATGCACTGAGTGAGCCACACCAGCCAGGGTTTTGGTGGCACTAAGAAAAGTGTTCCCATGTTTGAGCCACAATTATTTCAGACCTCGATGTATATCAGGCCCCCCGTGGAACTGTCTCCAGACCTGGTCTCGCCACTTACTGGTCTTTGGTGCCACTGGGAGCATCACTGCTATTCTGGTACATGCTTCAGGTCAGGGCTGAACTTCTTGCCTGTATCGATTTGCTGGGGCTGCCATAACAAAACTCTACACATGAGGGGCTTAAACAACAGACATTTATTATGTCTAGCCTGCAGCTCTGGAGGCTAGAAGTCCAAGATCAAGGTGTTCTCTGGGTTGGTTCCTCCTCAGGCCTCTGTCCTAAATATATAGATGGCGACCATCTCCTTCCTGCTTCCACACAGGGTCTCTAAAGTCTGTGTCTTAATCTCTTAGAATGACACCAGTCAGATTGGATCAGGGCTCATATGTGATCTCATGTTACCTTAGTCATCTCTTTGAAGGCCCCATTACCAAGCACAGTCACCTTCTTCTGAGATCCTGGTGGTTAGGATTTGAACATGGAGATTTTAGCGGGGGACATGACTCAGCCCAAGACACTGCCAGTTGGAGGAGTGATACACATTTCATGGAGACAGAGGCCCAGCTGGGAGTCTCGCACGAATCCTGGTGGCTGGAGCCCAGACACTGACCTGCTAGGCTTGTGGAATCCAGCACTTCTCCAGTGACAAAACCTCATGCTGAATGTTGCTAAGAATGTAAGGACTCCGGGGAGGGTGGTCTGGCTTCGTGGCACATCAGCCAACCTCATCTCAGCAGAGCTGTGCACCTTATGAGTTCTTAGACCAAACAGGCCACTTAACCCCAGGGGTTCTGAAACCTCAGGACCAGTGAGGCACCCAACCAAATCCAGACTCCTGGACCCCACTTCTAGACAGGGACCCCTTAAGGTCCAGGGGCACAGACACCTTTCAGAAGCTCGGTGACCTGGAGGCAGCTGGCCCCGTGTTCTGCAAACTGGAAACTGAAGCCCCAGAAAGGGGTGCCACGCATGCTGAGAAGGGGCGGGTGGGGGACCTGGCTTTGTGGACCAGCATGCACTCTGCCTGCAGAGGAGCCCAAGGTAGGAATCAAGACCATCAAGGTGTACTGCCAGCGCATGCAGGAGGAGAACATCACCCGAGCCCTCATCGTGGTGCAGCAGGGCATGACGCCCTCCGCCAAGCAGGTAGGTGCCTAGCAGCCATGAGCCTGACCACTCCTCTTCCTGTTCTGTCCCGAGTCCCGCTTTTCCTTCCTGCAGCACCTCCTGTGAGGCCCCGCTGCTGTTTTCACCCAGGGCGCCTGCTGCACCTGGGCGACATTCAACTCTAGCCCCTCAGTGCGTGGGCCCCACATCCTGGTGCCGGAGCTCAGGGTCTGAGAAGGAACTACTGCCCTAGGTGGGCTGTGTGGGGCATCCCCAGAGCAGACCCAGCATCTACCCCTGGTTGGACAGGCCTGAGAGGGGCCTGAAGGAGCAGCAAGCACCCTCTTCTCTGTGCCTTTGGGAGCTGCAGAGTCCTAGCCATCGTGATCCTCTCCTGGGGAGGGGCCGCCATTCCAGGGACAACCCCTGGGTTCATGTGATAGAAACTCGTTCCCTGACACCAAGCCAAGACCTAGAGCAGTGCTGAGGGATGGGGTAGCAGGAAGAAACCCGTACTCCGGATGGGAATTCCCAGCTCTGAGGCCTGGTTTTTTGTTGCACACAAGATCAAATCTATTCACCTTCCTGCCTGCCCTGGCCTCTGGGGAAGAAACAGACCAGGTCCAGTTGTCTCCAGCCACATAAGAGCGGGTTGGTAAGGCCCTGGGGTGGGGGACTATGGCTGAGCCTGAGTGTCTGTCTCTTTTAGTCCCTTGTTGACATGGCCCCCAAGTACATACTGGAGCAGTTTCTGCAACAGGAGTTGCTCATCAACATCACAGAGCATGAGGTGGGGCCTGGGGATGGTGGGAGGCCTGGGGTGGTGGAAGGGGTGGGACAGCGAGGGAAGCAGAGCTGAGGTCTCAAAGTGAGTGGCCTCCTGGGCCCCAGAGCAGCAGCATCACCTGGGGCCTTGCTAGCAGTGCAGGTTCCACCCCCCAGCACCACCCCACTGACCTGGAGGGAAACCTGTTCTGGGAGCTGCAGGGGACCCTAGGTTGTGACCCAAGGCCTCTGCATGACAGTCACAGGGTGGGGTGCAGACTCCCTGAGGGGTACACTGTACCCATCTCCCATGTAGGGGTGTAGGACACAGTGGTGTCTGTCATAGCCCCCTAGAGACTTGGGTTCTCTTGGCAGCTGGTCCCAGAGCACGTCGTCATGACCAAGGAGGAGGTGACAGAGCTACTGGCCCGATAGTATCCTTTCTGGCCTCCCCAATCCTCTTCTCCAGAATTCTCCATCCCTCCCAGTCAGCTCTGCATGGCTTTTTTCCTGACCGAGCTTCCCAGTAAACTCCGAGAGAACCAGCTGCCCAGGATCCAGGCTGGAGACCCTGTGGCTCGCTACTTTGGGATAAAGCGAGGGCAGGTGAGAGAGTCCTGGCAGGAGACCACTACCCTTAGCACCTTTCCTCCTGGGAGGGACCTTCAGGATCCACTCCTTCCAACTCCAGCTCTTTTTAGAGCTAGGGCAGCCCTAGGTCTCCTGGGACCACCCACCCTGCTGGGGCCCCCCCCTCCCCACACACACACACACACTACACACATGCCTAGGTCCCTGGTAAGGCTGGGCCCCTCCCATCCCTGCTCTCACCCTGACACAGGTGGTGAAGATTATCCGGCCCAGTGAAACTGCAGGCAGGTACATTACCTACCGGCTGGTGCAGTAGCCACCCTACTGTCCAACAGGTGAGACAGATGCCATCCCAGCTGAGGGGCCTGGGCCAGGGTGGGAGTGTGTCTGCATGCAGTGTGGGGGTGCAGGAAGCCCCCAACTCTTTGCCTAAGTGATCTGTTACCTACCCTGCTGGTGGTCTGACCTGGAGCATAAAGCTCAGCCCCTCCTTCCTTGACCTCCTTTCCTCCGTGCTGCCCCAAATCCTCTCCCAGGTTCTGTGACAGCCAGTCATTGTTCACCTGTAGGGCCAAGAAGCAGTGGCATCTATAGCCTTGGTGTACCCAGAAACGTGACAGGCATATCACATGATGGGCCTTTCCTCTCTTCCCCAGCCCCGGGAGTCAGACAAGTGGACTGTGACCACTCCACCCTGGACAGTTGGTGGCTTGCCCTACAGGAATCTGCTCCACCCCGGAAACCTACCCTGTGTTCTCTGGACCCCAAGGCAGGCTGCTTGTTTTCCTTTCCTGGGCTGAGGGCCCTCGTGGTCTGACCTGGACACTGAGCCCCACCTGGGGTCCCACGTAATGGTGCCTCAGGAGGGGAAAGGATTCTGAGGGGAGGCCAGGGGGCCAGCCAGCAACCTAGACAGTCCTAGGTTCTTGCCTGTCTCCCGGGCACCCTGAACTGGCTCCCCACAAAAAGGACCCGGGTCCGAGTCTCTCATCAGCCCTCACTTCCTTCCACTTCCCAGCTCCGTGCTGCCCTCGTCATGGCCCTGTCCCTGACCAACTGTGAGCACTGTGAGGGCAGCAGGCAGGGAGGTTAACATGAATCTGGATTTTGAGTTGGTGTTGAATGCTGGTGTTTTAAAATTAAAGATAACTTTTAGTAAACAATTTCGCTTGTCTGAAAAACAAAGGTGGGAGAACAGGTTTTCCATGGCTTCAAAGTGAGTCTCCACGGCTGCCCTCTGCCCGCCTTTCAAACTGCCAGTCGTGCCTGGTTGGCTGTCTGCACTTGCCCTCCCAGAGGGCAGGGTTAATGTCTAGTGTTCAGGTCCAACTGTGCTTTTCTGAGCTGTTCTCGTATAAGTTTGGGTCCTTGCCCTGGCTGGTATGGCTCAGTGCATTGAGCACTGGCCTACAAACCAAAAGAACACACTGTTTACAGCCCAGGGCACATGTCTGGGTTGTGAGCCAGGTCCCCAGTAGGGGGTGCATGAGGCAACCATACATTGATGTTTACCTATCTCCTTTTTCCCTCCTTTCTCTCTCTAAAAGTAAATAAGTAAAATATTTGTAAAAAAAAGTTTGGGGGCCAATGAACCTGTTTCCCCCTTTAGTGTCTGGTTCCAGAAGGCCTTCCTCCCCATTAAAAGCAATCATGTATATATTTTTGATACCTTTTTTGAGACATAATCACATACCATACAATTCACCCATTTACAGGTCAGTTTGGTGGCTTTTAGTATGTTTCCCTACTGTGCACCCACCACCATCACTTCTGGAACATTTTATCATCCCCAAAAGCAACTCCAGCACTCAACAACCACCCCTTCTCCCTCACTTCACCTGTGCTACTACCTTGGGCAGCATGCAGGTTGCCTTTTTTGTTGTTGTGTTTTAACAATTTATTGAAGTGACACTGGTTAATATGGGTTTCAGGTGTACAATTCTATAATACATCTTCCGTGTATTCTGTTGTGTGTGCTCACTACTGCAAGTCAAGTCTTCCATCATCCAGGTTACCTTTTACTGTCCTGCAGCACAGGCAGGCCACTCTCCTATCTTTGTTTTCCCAGTGGGTGGATGTGTCCACCCTTTGGAGAGACCAGACATTCCACCCTGCTCTGCATTAATCACAAACGTGGCCCTTGGAGGCAAAGGAGACCCCTGCTGCACTGAATTGGAACAGTCTGTGCTGCATTTATTTCCGGAAATATGTGGTCTTTCGATCCTGCTTTCTTTTGGCGGTGGTTGGGGTTCTTCCCTGACTGAGTACAAAGGCTTGGGTGATGCTGGCCCGGGCCAGCCGATTTCAAGCAGTATTTTCCGCCTACCGTTTGGAGCTGAGGTTTTGTGGCCCAGCTGGAGTGCAGATGTGCTGACTGGCAGAGTGCTGTTCTTCTCAGAACAAGGGAAGTGACTCCTTCCATGGTTCTCTGTCATGTTTACATGTGTGAATGAAAAGGGAGCTCATCTGCAAGGTAAAAGGCACAGGGGTCAGTATAACAATATGGGTGTAAAGGCTGCGTGCAGTGGGCTGGAGCCCAGACAGGACTTCTGTCCCTGCTGTTCCTCTGCCAGTCTCTAAGCATCCACACGGCCAGTTCCCTTACCCTCAGGACTACTCAGATGTCACCTGGGGCTTCTGTAACTACTGGGAAATCTCCCCTTTCCCAGTTTATCCTCCAGGCATCCTGCGCATCTTACATGCTTATTTCCATCCTGTCTTCCCCAGCAGAGCATAAGCTTCCAGGGGGCAAAAGGTCTGTTTTTCTCCACTGGTGTTAATGTAGAAATGATGCCTGACACATAGTAGACGCTTAGTGTTTGGTTAATGAATGATGGTGATAAGGGCTATGACCCCCCCACACTCCAATTTCTGAACTCTGTCCCTTAATCCTTACATGCTACAGGGACTTTATGAAAGATACAAAAACTAGAAAAAGTCTAAGGATGAAAAACAAGTTAGTGACAATTCTAGAAAAACACTACCTGTCGTCATTGTAAAGCCTTCCACATACTGGGCACCTACACACTCGGCGTAATTCTTTGGGGGTTTCTATAAATGGGCTTCTAGAGGACAGTTGCTTAGTAGGTGCCATGGTCGTAGTGATACTGGGCCATTTAGCTCTGCTATTCCTGAAAATTGCCTCTTTCACCCTGGCATGCGTGTGTCTGATGCTTTAAGGACCGTGCATGGCTGCTTTGGTGACCACTTATTATGCTTCAAGCAAAACAAATGCCCTGAGATTTATTTGTGCACTTTCTTCTGAAGAAAAGCCTCATTCAAGCTGAGGTGAGGCTTCGTGTGCACACTTTAATTTACCTTTTAGTTAGCTGTTCACTTAGTAATAGTGCTAAGTACACCGATAAATTGATGTTTGAAAGCAAATTGAGAATTTTTACTTTCTGGTGGCTGGAAAACTAGGCCTTTACAATAAGAATAACAGTAAAACAGAAACTAGGTGTTAAGCTTTGGGCTATAACACAACAAATCATTTGTCTGGAATTTGTGAACAAGAAAAGATAGTGTTGATGGTGATTTTATAGTCATTAGTACAATTGATTAGCCAATCGAATACTGGGAATGTGGTTTCCATTCAGTTTCAAAATATTAATGTTTTTTAAAATTTTTTATTGATTATGCTGTTACATTTGTTCTATTCCCCCTTTCATTCCCCTCCACCCTACCCCCCCATCCCCACCATTACCCCCCCTTTAGTTTATGACCATGTGTCTCAAGTCCTTTAGATTCTATATTTCCCATGTATTCTTACCCCCCCCCCATCTATTTTCTATCTACTGTCTATGCTACTTATTTTCTGTACCTTCTCCCCCCCTTCTCCTTCTCCCACTCCCCTGTTGCTAACCCTCCTTGAGATCTTCATTTCTATGTTTCCACTCCTGATCTAGCTGTCCTTTTAGTTTGCTTTTGTTTTAGGTGTGGTTCTTAATAACTGTGAGTTTGTTGTCCTTTCACTGTTCATGTTTCTTTAACTTCTTTTCCTTAGATAAGTCCCTTTAACATTTCATATAATAAGGGCTTGGTGATGATGAACTCCTTGAATTTGATCTTATCTGAGAAGCACTTTATCTGTCCTTCCATTCTAAATGAAAGCTTTGCTGGATAGAGCAATCTTGGTTGTAGGTCTTTGGATTTCATGACTTGGAATACCTCTTTCCAGCCCCTTCTTGCCTGTAAGGTCTCTTTTGAGAAATCAGCTGACAGTCTGATGGGAACTCCTTTGTAGGTGACTGTCCCCTTAGCTCTTGCTGCTTCTAGGATTCTCTCCTTCATTTTAATTTTGGCTAATGTAATTGTGATGTGCCTTGGTGTGTTCCTTCTTGGGTCCAACTTCTTTGGTACTGTCTAAGCTTCCTGGATTTCCTGGAAGTCTATTTCCTTTGCCAGATTGGGGGAAATTCTCCCTTATTATTTGTTCAAATAAGTTTTCCACTGGTGGCTGTGCCTTTCCCCCTTCTGGTACCCCTATAATTCGGATGTTGGAGCGTTTAAAGATGTCCTGGAGGTTCCTAAGACTCTCCTCATTTCTTTGAATTCTTGCTTCTTGACTCTTTTCTGTTTGGCCATTATTTGCTTTCTTCTGGTCCACTCCATTGATTTGAGTCCCAGTTTCCTTTTCATTGCTATTGGTGTCCTGTGCAATTCCATTCATTTCAATTAGTTTCGCCTTCATATATTTGTCTAATTTGTGGCTATAATCAACCAGTTCTGTGAGGATCCTGATCACCAGTGTTTTAAACTGTGCGTCTGAGAGTTTTGCTATTTCTTCATCGCTTAGATCTATGGGCTCTGGGGCTTTGAGATCTTGCGACATTTTTGGTCTGTTCTGGCCCTTTAAGTGTGAGAAGCGGCGCCTTGGACTCCCAGGTCGCTGGGTTGTGACGCTGTATGTGGGGGCGTGGTCAGAGCGGGGAAATGGCGACCTCCTCTGCTGTTTCTCACAGCTGGGTAAGGATCAGCGCCTTAGGTGGTTCACCTGGGCCAGGCCACTCAGAGTCGCTGGGTTCTGACGCTGTATGTGGAGGTGGGGTCAGAGCAGGGAAATGGCAGCACCCTCCACTGCCGCAGGCCGCGGGGACCCACCGGGCCCGGTCCAACCACCCACTCCCTTGCCTGTCCACCCGCGCACAAATGCGCGACCACAGTCAACACACAGCCCCGCTCCCCGCTGTCTCCTCCGCGGTCGCTCGCCATCCCTCACTAGGTCCAACCCTGCGCCTGGATTCCGCGCCTGAGTCCATCTGACCGAGTTTTCCTGTACAACCCCGCTTCACCAGCCGCTGGTTTCGCCCCTTACAGGTCAGGCTGAAGAATTTGTTGTTAACGGACTTCCGAAAAGTTCAATTTTCCGTGTTCTGGCTGTGTTTTCTGTTGCTAATATTTAGTTGTCTCTAAACTTGGTTGTGTGAGAAGGCACGGCACATCCACCTATGCCTCCATCTTGGCGGAAGTCTGTCAAAATATTAATATTTCTATTTGCTTAAGGAAGCACAGCTATCTTCCTATATAATTTCTTAAATGTTACTGCTAAACTAATAATTTTGTATGTCCCAGTGATGAAAGTCTTGGCATTATTGTAGCATTTAATTTAAAATTTTAGATGTGTTTTTGCTATTTCTATAGTTCACAGGCCCGATGACTGGGTGTTCTTTCCCTTCTGTGAGATGCGCCTCCCTCAAACCTTGTTACGACATTGGCACATTACCCGTCTGACACGAAAAGAGTTTTGTGGGTGTTCTGGTTTTTAGTCTCTTCCCTCATTCACTTACTGAGGGTTCACCTCTGCTCATTAGGGTTAGGCTGGGCACCCCCTACACAATAGTGCCTGAAAATTGAAGTGGTTTTAATTTGCACATAGCCCATGCCAATCTTTTTCCAGATTGTAGAATTAAAGAAATGGTTTCTTTTTAGAAATAACTTCAAATTATAAGTGAAAGCTTATTTAGAAAGTCACAGAGGTGGTAGATGTGAGCCAGCTGGGCTGCGGAGGCTTAGGAAACAAGTTACAGAAGCCAAAGTAGGGCCCTTGCAGCTTAGAAGAGGGAAAGGCAAAGGGGACGTGCCTGTGGGGAGAGAGAGAGAAGGCCAAGGAATGGTTTCAGTGCCTACCAGTATTCATTCAATTAGTGTTTTGCCCGCCTAAATAAGGATCGAAGCTGAGATCTTGTGCAGAATCTATTAACCTAATGTTAGTGTTCCTTTTTAAAAATATTTTAAGATCTGGATTATATTTTTCCCATCACCACTCAGTCTTTTTGCACCCCCTCTCCCCCAGCCGTCACCACACTGTTGTCTGTGGCCACGAGTCATTTTTCCGTTTTGTTCAATCCCTCTGCCCCCTCATCCCAGCCACTAGCTGCCATCCTGGCTCTCCGTCTACGAGTCTGTCCCCCTTTTCCATGTCAGTGCAGTTTGTTCATTAGATTCTACATATGAGTGAAACCATATGGTATTTGTCTTTCTCTGACTGGCTTATTTCACTTAGCATTATGTTCTCCAGGTCCACCCATGCCGTCACAAAAGGTAAAACTTTCTTCTCCTTTTTTTTTTTTTTTACAGCCGAGTAATATTTCATTGTGTAAATGTCCCAGAGTTGTTTTATCCACTCATCTGATGGACACCCAGGCTGCTTCCATATCTTGGCGATTGTAGGTAACGCTGCAGTGAACATAGGGGTGCTTATATTCTTTCAGATTAGTGTTTTGGGTTCCTTTGGATGTGTTGCCAGAAGTGGGATCGCTGGGTCAAAAGACAGATCCATTTTTAATTTTTTGAAGTATCTCGATACTGCTTTCCACAGTGGTTACACCAGTCTGCATTCCCAACAGTGCACAAGGGTTCCTCTTTCTCCACACCCTTACCAGCACTTGTTTGTTGATATGTTGATGATATCCATTTTGACAAGTGTGAGATGATGTCTCCTTGTGGTTTTAATTTGCATTTCTCTGATGATTAGTGATACTGAGCATCTTTTCATTTTATGTCTATTAGCCATCTGTATGTCCTCTTTGAAGAAGTGTCTGTTCAGGGACTTTGTCCATTTTTTTAAAAAATATTTATTTAATTTTAGAGAGAGAGGAAGGACAGAAAAAGAGTGGGAGAGAAACATCAGTGTGTGGTTGCCTCTCATGTGTCCCCTGATGGGAACTGGCCTGCAACCCAGGCATGTGCCCTGACTGGGAATCGAACTGTGATCCTTTGATATTTGCAGGCCCGTGCTCAATCCACTGAGCTACACCAGCCAGGGCCTTTGTCCATTTTTTAATTGGGTTGGGTTTTTTTGTTTTGTTTTTGGTGTTGAGTTTTTTAAGTTCTTTATGAATTTTGGATATTAACCCCTTATCAGATAGATCAGCGAATATGTTCTTCCATTCTGTGAGTTGTCTTTTTATTTTGATGATTTCCTTTGCTGTGCAAAAACTTTTTTAGTTTGATGCCCATTTGTTTATTTTTTCTTTTGTTTCCCTTCCCTGAGGAGATAGATACGATAAGATACTGCTACGAGCAATAGCCTAGATTTTGCTGCCTGTGTTTTCTTCTAAGATTTTTATGGTTTTGGGTCTAACATTTAAGTCTGTGATCCATTTTGAACTTATTCTTGTATGTGTGGTTTCATTTTTCTGTACATATCTGTTCAATTTTCCCACCATTGTGATTTTTGTTTGTTTTGTTTTCTTGATTTCATTGTCGTTTCTTTGTTTTGTGTTTTTTTAGGGGGAGTTTTTTGCTTAATAATTATGTTCCTCAATATTATTTACTTTGTCCTTACATTTAAAATTTTTATGTCTAAAATCAGTTGGTTCATGGCAGCCCTTCTGCTTCATTGTTATGTCCTGGATTTGTCGATTCTTCATTTGTAGGGTAGCCCAATAAACCTTTCGTCTGACCTAGTATTGCCTTCTCGCTGTAACTACTGACTTGCACTATTCATTTTACTTGCCAAGTATATTCTTGGACACGGCTCTCTGCCTTCTTGATCAGTAAATTGCAGAAGGTTTAATAAAATAGCCCTGGCTGGTGTGGCTCAGTGGATTGAGCACTGGCCAGCTAATCAGAAGGTTGCTCGTTCCATTCTCGGTCAGGGCACATGCCTGGGTTGCTGGCAAAGTTACCAGTTGGGGGTATGTGAGAGGCAACAGACTGATGTTTCTCTGACACATCACGTTTCTCTCCCTCTCTTTCTCCCTCCCTTCACTTCTCTCTAAAAATAAAATATTTTTTAAACGATTTAATAAAATATTTTAAAGTAGAAAAAAAAAACTTCCTCAGCAGTTACCCTAACCCCCCGCTCCCAGCTCCTCACCACCTCTGACCCATTTTTTGTCTGTGGATTTTCCTGTCCTGGACACATCACATAAATGGAATCACGCACTGCATGGCCTTTTTGTGTCTGGCTTCTCTCGCTGAGCATCCACGTTCAAGGTTCACCCACGTTGTATCCAGTGTCAGTGCGTTACTCCTTTTCATGGCTGTGTAGTATTCACCTGTGTGGGTGGACACTATGTTGGTCATTTCATATTAGCTGGACACTTGGGTAATGTCTACCTTTTTGCTGTTGTGAGTGTGCCGCTGTGAACAGGTTTTTTAGGACGTGTGTTCAGTACCTTGAATGTGCACCTATGAAAGAAATTGCACAGCCGTGTGGAAACACTGGATACCATTTCTAGAAACTGTGAGATTGTTTTCCAAAGCAGCTGCCCCATTTTGCATTCCTGTAAGCCCTATAAAAAGAGTCCAGCTTCTCCACATCTGTGGGACCCTTGTTGTTGTCCATCCCACTGAGGGAGAGCAAGGCTATTGAGCTATAAGAGTTCTTTTTTCTAGTTAGGTAGACAATTTGCAAAAATTATCCTGTTTATTTATAATTTCTTGTATTTCTTAAACACCCAGATAGGTGTGGTGCTTACATACAGGTCTTCAATCCTGGGGTTTGCTTCTGGGAAGCCTGTGACCCAGGGGTGCCCCTTCCCCCTAACCCTCACAATGGTCTTGACAACAGTGAGTATCTGGCAGGTCCTTGGGCAGCCTACCTGGATTGCCTCTCTCCCGTGTGGACGCACAGAGGGTTGGTTTCAAGATTCTTCCATTACTCAATTTAAGTTTTAAAAGTGTTTTACAGTATGTCTAATGGTTGAATTAGTCTCCTCTTTTTTTTACAAAATCACCCTGGCCAAAATGAGCCAGGCCCAAAACACTGTGGGATTCCACTCAGGAGGGCCATGGAGGAGTCAGGCTCAGAGACAGGAAGTTGATTGGGGGGGGATCTGGGGGAGGAAGTGTTTAGTGGAGACAGAGTTCCAGTTTGGGAAGTTTAAAAAAATGGACGGTGGGGCCCTGGCTGGTGTGGCTCAGTGGATTGAGCACCAGCCTGTGAACTGGGAGAGGAGGGGTTGCCAGTTTCATTCCTGGTCAGGGCACTGCCTGGGTAGTGGGCCAGGTCCCCAGTAGGGGCCATGTGAGAGGTACCAAAGCACTGATGTTTCTTTCCCTCTCTTTCTCCTTCCCTTCCCCTCTGTCTAAAAATAAATAAAATCTTTAAAAAAAATGGACGGTGGGGATGGCTGCACAACAATGTGAGTGTGCTTAACGCCACTGAGCTGTGCGCATGCCTAAAAATGGTTAAGGTGGTAAATTTTATGTATGTTTTACCACAAAATGTTTCGGCTATTCGTGGATATTTACTGTTTGAATGACTAGAATCAGCTCACCAGCATCCACGGTAAGTCCTCTGCTGTGGCTGGGTTTGCTGTCTCTGAAGCTGGTGAAAACCTGCTCTTGGATAGGTTTCCGGCCACAGAGGCCATAGACACTGCTGTCACCTGTCGGGGAGCTTGCTGTGCCCCTCCTCCCAGCAGCACCTGGCTCACCTTTGTGCCTTGGGGACCAGATTCTGTCTCTGCTTCCAAGCATGGCCTGTTCTCAAGTCCCGAGATTGGCTCAGGGCCTTGGGTGGAATGAGGTGGGGGCCTGACAGTCACTCAGTCCCCCCGCCACCAGGACTTACTGTGGGGCTGAAGGTGGCCCACCCTGTGAGGGCACCTCTTGACAGGTTGGGGCTGTTGTTTACTCACCCACCAGGGTCTGGAAGTGCTTTTGCATCTGAGAATGGGGTACTTTTCATGACCTTTGATATCTGACCAACACAAAGCAGAAAGCTGCTGTCCAGATGAACTCCGGACTATTAGTTTTATCAGTTAATTCTTTTGTCCTTTTAAAAATGTGGATCAGAGGTCAGCACGTTTGTTGTGTGAAGGGCCAGACAGTAAATGTTTTCAGAGCTGCGGTGACCCACCTGCGTGCAAGGGCAGCACGGCGCCGAGAGTGCAGCTGCATGCCAGCCAGTCTGTGTGGAACGCAGCCCTGGGCTGCAGCCTACTGGCACGTGGTCTGCTTTTCCGGCTCTTTGAAAGTTTCTGCAGGGATGAGGCCCGCTGTTGCAAAGTGTCCTGACTGGCGTGTCACAGCTGCTGGGGCGTGCTGTGGTTTTGGGGACCTGTTCCGTACAGGGAGGGAAGGCCCCTGCCCTGCTGGCTGCCTTTGTCACAACTGGGTATGGATTCTGCCTGATTCTTATGGACAAAATGAAAAGTTGGGGCTCATCTCTGCTGGGCTGCCCTACCCCCTCCAACCCTCTGGCTGTGGGGTGGTCTCCAAGCTACAGGAGGGTAACATGCATTGGGGCGGGTCCTTTCCTGTGTCCTCTGTGCTGTCCCGG